CTATTATTCTTTTATTAAATTGTCAGGTTAAATGACAATTTCTGTCAAATCTTGCTCAGCAAGATGTGCTGAAATTCTGTGCATTTTACTTATGAAGATTCCTTTGGAAAATTGTTAGTGCAAAATTTTGTGTGGGTGAACAGAGAAATGATGAATCTTACAAATTTATATACACATCTAAATATTGGGAAAAAAATAGGTTTTGTAGGTAAAAATTATTTGATGTTTTTTATTCAGGTCCATAGATATAGGTTGTATCAACTGAATATTTTTGACTTGATTTCTAACCAAATTTACTTATTATACATAAGTTTCATATATGAATCAGGAACTGAAGTAAGCCTTGATGTGCCCTAGAGAATGAGTATGATTCTAGGATGTGAAAGCGATAAAATGTCTTCCCATTAAATTCCATGGGACAAATTCATGCTTCCATAAAGGTGTCATTCTTATGATGGGAATTTACTGGCCCTAGTAGGACCTGAAATTTTGCTCTGTTACACATCTTATGTATAGAATGTTTGAAAAATACAGGTTACATTAATCAAGTGATTCTGGCAGTATGCTATAGGTCAGTTTGGAGTCAGGAGGGGTAGGGTACAGCAAGATTTTAGCCAGGGGAGCTTGGAGGCAAAGGGGGGAAAAGGTGAGAGAAAAAATAATTCTGCCCTTCATACAGATTTTTAGACAATAAAAACCTATGCTTCTTAAATGCAGTTGTGAAAAAGCAGTTGAAACTTTGTTATGGTTCTAAGGCATTTGAAGGTAACTATGTTGTGGTTTCATTCAATACAGGAAATGACACACGTGTCCAAACCTTTTAATTTTGAACAGAAAATGAATAGGTCCCTCTAGCAACATTAGATGGTCATCATTGATCAGGTATTGACAGGTAAAAATATTCAGACCTGGATACATATTTATATAAAGAATTACTTTAACACCAGTGGAATGAACTGAAAAGGCTATTGGTATTTATTCAGTTTGTCATAAGGAAACACCATTAACCTGATGTAAAGATGGATCAGCGAGTTCATTTTCAAATGTTTATTTATTTTCTTCACCTGTTGATGGAATAAGAATAAGAACCCTCCTGAATACGAATTTTTGAAGACTATTGTCACGTATATATATATTGTAAGAAATAATTAAATGTTTTCATTGGAAATTTGACTATTTTATGATTTGTCAACAATTTATTATCTTTATCATGTTGGTTTACTGCCATTTGTGGTGCTTTTGTTGTTGATGTTGTTGTTGTTGATACATTTTCTCCTTTCCTATTACATAATTTGGTGCTGTTGACCACCCCAGACCTTGCAGATGAAAGAGCTGCCAGGGGCAATAAGAACTTGGGCTGTGTCTTTGAGGGACGAAGACAATTTAAAGAGGGAGGAATGTAATGGTTTGGACTGTGGACAAGGGCCTGGATAGCTCAGTCGATAGAGCACCTGACTAGTGAGCAGGGGTCCCGGGTTCGATTCCCAGTCCAGCCATACATTTTCTCCTTTCCTGTTACGAAAGCATATTGGTTAACTTTATTGACAAGTTCACCAAGTTATGGTAGAAAATTATGATGAGTAAAATGTGAATGTTTTAAAATATAATTGCCTGAGCCAAGTGACACAGGGGGTCATGTACATGTTGGAATATTTTTCTCATTTGAAAAAAATCAATAACTAGCATTCTTTTGGGTAATTTGGATAGAAAAATAGGCAATTGAGCAATGTAGTGAACAAGGTTTGTTATATTAAGTGGGCTTATAATTGTTGTCAATCTTTTGTTGTCTAGTTATTGGTGCCCTTTGGAGCATGATCAGTCAGGCAATCCAATACAGTATACTGCACAGTGTTTTAATTCTTCATATTGTTTCTGTCATGCTTTGTTAGCTTGCCCCCATATCTGATCTTAGGGGGCTTTCTATGGTGTAAAGAGGTGGATCATATTATGAGTGCAATGAGGCCATTGCAGATTGAAGGTTAGATTTAAATGAAAAATCATTGTTGGATAGCTATGGATTAAAAAAAAATCTACTTCTGGGTACTAAAAATTGATGTTGAATAATTCCCTCATGGTGCTGTTTCTTCTTTGATAATTTTTTTGCCTCCAATTTTGTTCAGAAATTAAAGTTTTTTTGTAATGCAAAGAACTGTACTTGTGTATTCTTATCTGTTGATGAATTGTTGGTATATAAACATAATGACACTAAACCTCAATTCACCTGAAAATAATTTTATGTAATTTTTTTAAATACCATGTGAAAAAAATTATAAAATAAACTTGTAGAAGTGGCATTACAATGTAGGACAAGATACAGTGGATTTATTTGAGGCTCCCTAGCAAGGACGAGGCCTCCACCCGATACTCAACCCTTCTATTATATAGGGTGTAATCAGAAGCTTAAATCAGTTCCACTCAGGCAAACTTCTCTGTCAGAAGTCATAACCGAATTCTAGTCTGCATGCTGACTCGCTTGAGTGCACTCAAAGAAACTTGTATCTGTCATGTGGGTTATGTTCTTTTTCTTTGATTCACCAAGTATGTACCTTAAAAAGGAATGTGTATATACTGTGAATATGGTTTAATTGCTGTGGTTCTTAAAAAGCTTCTTTTCAAAAGCTAAAAGGAATTTGCAAGTGTAGATTGTACAATCTATAAAATCCTAAGAGGTAAGGACAATATACAGGTTGCTTACAAGTATTAGTGGTTTGTGTTCCAATACTGCAGAGCAGTTTTCATTTGTTGTTTGAAAAGCTCAAAAGAACTGGGATGAAAATATCTGTGCATCAATGATTCAAAGAAAGTAAACTGACACAATGTCAGAGAAGTGTCCTTAAATGTTCCATGGGTTTACAGCAAGCATAATACCCCAAAATAATTGGAACATGTAGCTATTCATAGGTATTTTAGAAGAAAGATTAGAACAAGCTTTTCTGTAGATTTTTTAAATGTGATAAACTTCAAAACCACTTTAATTTATCTATGTACAGAAATTCTCATCTTATGGTTTCTGCCAATCATTTGAGATGGAAAAGGTTTTAATTTACTGTAATTGTTGTTTTATTAGACAAAGTGATTCACAACTAAGATAGCTTGTGAACAATGAACTGGCCATGTCATATTGACTAGTAAAAGTAATGCTCAGGAAGAGAAGTGGAGCTCACACTTTGACCTAATTTTTGTTCTGGAAAAAAAAAATTGCAGCACTGTTTGCTCAGCACATAGGAACCTTAAAAATCATGTCTTGTCTGCTGCTCTGTACATGCAGACAGTTGAAATGCTTTGAAAATAATCAATACCTCTGTTTTCACCAGATTTCTTCTAAAACTTACTGTTGATGTTGTCAAACGACTGTAACTTGAAGGAAGTGTATGTGATTAATAGAGGGCAATGGTCTTTATGTGAGGTCAGCAACCCAAAGGTCATCACCCTGGAGACAGATGATTTTTTTGGGGGGGGGGGGGGGGGGGGTTGTCGTATGTAATATATACTATGTACAGTAGGGTTATATTTTCCTTTCTAAATTAACATATGTGAAAAAAATCAAATGCTTACTTAATTGAGTTAATTCTCTGGCACAGCAAGTAGACTGGAAATTAATCATATGGAATCAGATTTTAAAATTATTAGCAAAAAAAGGGATGGAATGCAATGATCATAGAGTCTATACATACAGGGTATCATTGCTGTTAAAGCTTATTTATACATGTGTACAATTCTGTTCAGATTGACTGTTTTTACCATGGTAAACCATATATTGATGACCCTTAAATGGTTGCTTTAGTTGGACCAAAGCAGAATAATTATGATAAAAAAAATTAACCTTTTTTTCCCTAGAACATTAGAATTGGTATTGTTTTCCATCAATGGTAATGTTACCCAGAGCTTTAATGAGGCTCCATTTAAGCTGTCACATTTTGTGGCCAGCTAGGCATAAAACTAAAGAAAACTGGTCAATAACAGGTGTATTAGGAACAATTATACTGGAGAGAGAAAAAAGGAAAAGTCAATTTCAACCTTGGCTGAAGCAGGGAGAAAAATGATCTATGACATTGTTGGCTTTAAACCACAATATTGTAGACTTTGTCAGGAAGTTGTGAAATGCTGCTGCCATCAAAGATATGATAAAGAGTCTTGTTTGAGGGACCAGTTTCTAGGTTCTTAATTCTATGGTCACAGATTGCTTTGTTGGTCAAATTTAATCAATCTATGCCACTGATCTATCAATAGAAGTGAACTTAAGGAAAGCACTTATTAATTCTTGTCTAATTTTTCTTCAAAAGAAAAGTACATGTATTAATGTTTTATGATTAATTTTTCAAGGGCAGCTGAAAGCTTTATCCTTGCTGGAGTCCCCCCCCCCCCCCTTTCTATTAATTTGGTATTTTGATAAACAAATTGTCTTTTCGTTAAATGGTAAGATTCATTAAAAAAACTATAATGCATGATATGGAAAAAGTCTCAATGGTATGAGGTCAAAGTTACATAGAAATTCCTAGTTGGATATTGGGTCCATGTTGCTGTGATGAGGTTTTGTGTCTCCACTGTTGAACTTGTGTACGGGAAGGAGTTAATGGATTTTTGGCACCTTTCAGATAAAGAAACAAAGTTATAGTACGAAATAGGATTACAACACAATGAGTCATTCAGAAATACATGAACCTATTATATGCCAGCGACTATATGTATGTGGCTTAATTAGAGAATTTGGAAGATCCATTTTACTAGAATTACATCCATTGATAGAAATATATTACGCTAGAATTGTACAGAAAATGTCCATCCATTACTGGAGACACACATACAGGGAAATGTCCATTGATTTGTATTCATATTTTCTTCAATGAATTAATGCATGTAGTAACTTGGCAAAAAATGATTTTATTCCTCCCTACTAAAAATTGCAGCCAAAGGCCCATGATAAGTTTCTTCATCATAAAATTTATAAACATTGTTTAAATATGAAGTCAAGATGCTTTTTTTTTTCTTTTCTCTTACAGAGATTGGAAAAGCTGTCTTTGAAGTGGGACATTGCTAAAAATGATGTCAAGCAAGACCAACATCAGCTCCTTAAAGACAAGGTTCTATTGCAACAACAACTTATCAAGAAACAAGATGCCCTTGCTCAGGCCAAGAGAGAAGAGCTGGAAAAGGAGGCTCAAAAGGTATATATCACAGACAGGTAAACTCTCTAATAAAGGAGCAGAGATAGTGTCTTTACAGGTCATTTGATTGGTTACCATGGAAATGAGAGAAATCTGCTGTAGGTCCCTGGTTTCAAGTGGTGAATAGATTTTGGAGTTATTATATTGTCTAGCACCATTTGAAATCAGTGCATCTTTTAGTGGAATGTCAAAGCATGGGAGCAGAAGAAAAAGAATGACCAGTAATATCTGTCCTTTGTTTGAATGCTGGTACTCTTTAAGGGCATGATGTGAATGAATATGTAGTTCTCGAATCGGGTTAGTTAAAAATGATGGTTAGTTATTTGCTATAATATTCCTCTTGTAATCAGTACAATTAACAAATTTGTTGTTATGTTTTTTAAGTACAAAAAAGCAATTCATTTTACAACTGAAAATAATTGCTTGGATTTAATTTACTAGGATATTGTAAATTGTGGTTTATTTTTTTCAAACTGTGTGTTAAGTAATTATAAAATGTTGTAAATAACATGTATTGGAAGCAGACATTCCTTATGATGTAGAAGATAGGTCACAAACAAAACAACAATGCTAGATGAGTTTTATGATGTTGTTGGCTCTGCCTTTCTTCCCTCTTTTTTATGTACAATGGATAAGACATAAAGGGTGTACTGGGACCATTGTTTTTTATACAGCTTCTTGAGGCTACTGACCGAGATAGAAGGGTTCTTCTCTGGAGGTGAAGATGAGAAATTGATTTCTGCCTGCCTTGGTTGTAGTCCTTGGTCATTAGTGTACTTCAGGGAGAGATAACTCCTGTTTTTATTGCTTCAAACTTGTTTATTCCATTTTGATCGTTTTACAGGTACAAATGGCTGTGTGGAGAAGGACAGAAATAATGGGAAGGGAAGTTATATAACTATTTTAGGTCAACTGTTTTTAAATTGAAAAAAATGGCATTTAGTTAGTTGTGTTAAAAAAAATCTTTTGTTAATTTGTGAAGTGTAATCTATATCTTGACAATTCTGTTTTCCTGGGGATTTGCAAGATAGGTCTGGTTTCATGTACAATAAAGCAGAGAACACAGTATCAGCATTCCTGATGGATACGGAGAGAATTTTTGATTCATAAGCATATAATGCTACAAGACCTAGTCAAACCTTGATTGTTTCGAGGTTCCTTTGTATGAAAACTTTTAGATTGAGGAAGGAGATAGCTGAATGATTGTGTGAATTATTAATGTCCCCAGATGATTCTGATAAAAGACAAATATAGGTTATATGTATATATCTCACTGGTTCCAGCATTTAAATCATTCATACTGTGGAGACTGCTTCACTGGGTGTTTTGTCTTGGAACTATGTATCAAAGAATTTGTTATATCTGGATAAGATCTTCACAATGCAGTAGGATTGTCAGTTTGCAATGGCTACAGTCATTTTTGTTGCATAGAATTTCTGAGGGGAGAAGCGAAGAAATATTGCAGTAAAAAGAAGCTTTGCTGTGAAACAAAAGGGCATAAAAACACTGCATGGAACATACAGAGAGAAGAAAGCATGTAAAGGTAACCTAGTAGTCTAGATGAAACCCTTGCGCATCTTGCCTTCTTGAAAATATGGACAAAAGAATTTTTTAATAGTAGTTGTAAAGATGTTGGAGTGTGCACTTAAGCTGACATTGACGTTCTGTTATAGATGATGGTCATTTAGCTATACATTGTGAGCCTAAAGTGGTCAATAAGAATTCTGGGGAGACGGGTCATTTGTAGAATGATTGACAAGAGTTAATGTTGACCTTGGGATTATTAACATGGATATTCCAAGCCATATCTCGGTCTACAAGCCCATATGCATGAATTATGAAGTGTTTTCTTGCATAAACGCAAGTTTCATTCCTAAATGATTTAGTCTTGTTGATTGGAGTAATGAATGCTATTTCATCATGTTCCTTTTCTGGGATGCTTTCCACGGGTGAATGGAGGTTCTGAGACTCACTGGTTTTTCTGTACATTAACAATTTATTGGGACTGGGAGCTACATCTATATATTGATTCACATTGCTTGTTTTTATTGATCCTCAAGCGGACTAGTTCTCAAACCAAACATAAATACGAGTTCATTAAATTTGGGCCAAATGCTAAACTATGGCCTGTCTGGTGATGAGAAGATTTATTTTGGAATCTGCCATCAGTCATTGAGATCCAGTACTGGATTTCAAGGAAATAACAGAATTGTTGCTGAAAAAGCCTACAGTGTTGCAGGTACTTGTTTTGTTCTTTATGTTAGGGGTTTAATGTGATTTTGCATTCATATCTGGAAAAGGATTTTTCTATTCAATATATATATAAATAATATGGTATGCATTCCCATATTGAGCATTTCTGAAATTAATCAATTATAAAGTAGATTTGTAAAGACGGGGGAATTCTGCAGCGGGTTTCATCATTGATTTCATTGAAGTGTATCCATCGATTCGTACATTTGCTGCACGTTTGGTTTGGATAAACTACACTTCTTCAGGTAATACAAATGTCTTAAGTATTAGTATATAAGGGGACTTAAAGTGAATACCAACTGGTTCAGTTCTGGGTGAACCATTGATTCCCGTTTGAAATTTGTTATCTGTTGATTCAATATTTAATTAATTGTGCATGAAGCATCTCAAATGCTGCAATGTTAGAGGTTTTCCTTGATTGTTGATAGTTCATGAATGTCAATGTTGACTGGTACTCGTTGGAGCTGGTTCATTTACCTAGTAAATTTTGTAACAGCTGCCAAAAAATTAAAAATTGAAAAATGAAGTTGACTGGTGTTTGTGAAAAGTATAAGGAGTTGTAGATCATTGACCCTGTTAGAGGTTATTGGGTGTGAAAGAAGACATAGGACTGTGGCAGTTGTCTTAATTGCTCTTTCACAGGTTAAAGACAATCCAAATGAGTTGACTTCATTACAGATTCTGACTTGAGCAATGAGCACTCATGAATAATCCATTATAATTGTGAAAACAAAAAACAAAGACAAAAAAAACTGAAATTTGTCTTTTTATTCTATATTTGGAAATAAATTTTAATTATAGCAAAAAAAATATGAAGTAAAACGATATCAACAATTGAAAGAAAAAAAAAGGAGGATTTTTGGACTGTAAAGGAAACTGTATAGACCTGGTTCTTACCAATTGCTTTGATGTGAAATCTTTTCTGGGAATCAATAGGGCATTAACTGATGGGGAGAGAAAACAATAAAAAATTGATCAAATGGAGCTCAGATATGGCCAGTAGATAGGAGTCCTTCATATGTGATTACCAAAGAGTCCTCATCTAATGGTCGGTTGGAGTGAAGTAGAGGGGGTTATCCATTCCAGAGCCAATGGACCTTGGTGGCAAAACATAGGTCATGCATTTACAGTAAAGCAATCAAAGGGATGTAGCATGATAGATGAGGGGGGTTTCCAAGCAATTTAGGCACAAAGATGGAATATTGGTATTTAGAGTTTTTAGTGCAAGTTAGAGATGAAGAGAAAAGGATGTTAAAGAAAAAGATAGACCTGCAAGTAGTGTATTGGGGTCAACTGACCTTTGTACTGATTCAATGAAAAAAAAAAAACAATTTTATGAATTGTTGCAAGAAGGAAGGGAAGAAACTGTGACAGGAAACAAAACTTCAAATTAGACTTGGGGGAGATAATCCATTGCTGATGAGACATAAATGGGGGAATCGGAACCAAAGCCATGGAAGAGAAGACATATTGGCCAGAAAGTGTTTGTTAATTGTTCAGTAGTGATTAGAGCGAAAAGGAGCAGTAAAAGATTTGACATCCAAAAAGATTGTAAGGGGAGGCAATCCTGTAGTAAATAGTGTAGGCTACAATTCCCAGTCAGATGAGAATAAAATGAGAAAAGAGAATCCATGAGTGCTTTTGAATTGTAAAATCCAAGGGAGAGAACTGGAGGAATCTGCCACTTATTGACAGCCTGGTCTCATCTGGTGAATAGAGAAATCAGTTCTAGCACCATTTGAAATCAGTTTGTCTGTGTGGTACTTCATCATGACAGTATCAACTCCATATACAACAAGTAATGTGCAAGTCATTCAACTGATTGAAGTAATTCAGAAGTATGTTGCTAGTCCTGTGTAAGCATTTTATAAGTTTGCTAAGTGTTGAATGAGAAGTGTCCATTGGGAATGATTTGTTTATATTTGTATAGTTTCAGCACTAGTGACTCTACTTTGAGTGGTAAAGGTGATCTTCGTACATAATTTTAGTAGTAAGAAAAAGACAATGAAAAGAGGGAGTTATTAGAGAAGAGATATAAAGTACTAGGTTATTAAGTGTCAAACGGCATTCAAAAGGAATCTGTGTGATATCGTTGAAGGGGCCTTTGGGAAATTAATTCTATTGGCAGTCAAGGCTGTTTAATATGCAAAAAAATTACCTTTTCATGAGCTGTTGAGAAGAAAGAGCCAGCAAAAAGCTTCAAAGCAGTTAATTAGCAATACTTAATGAGATGCCTACTTGTGAAGAGAAGTCAAGCATGAATCTGTTTATGGTGCTATTGTATACTGCAAAAGATTCCATTACTATACTGGTTTGGCAAATGTAACACTTCATGAAATTTAAATGATCTTTTAATTAGAATGGAAGCAATGTTTTGATTGTATTTGAATGTTATCATGCTGATAAGAGATTGAACCTATTATATGCAGCTTCTTGCTAACGTTTGAAATATTTCTCTTTAAACTGAGAATATATAGAAACATTTTCATTCATGGTTTAGAATCTATGTCTTTTGAAACTCTGTGGATGAATTTAAATGAGAAGTTTAAAAGTTTTTCAAATTGTGTTTAAAAGGTTTCTGATATGTGAAACAAAGGCCTCTGGACTTATTACTTCTGTCCTCAAGAAATGGATGAACTGTTTCAGAAATCTGATCTGTGATTTATTAAAGACAACCTTCAAAAAAAGAATTGTTTTCTTGGCAAGGAATTTTAATTTTCCAGTGTAATGCATGTAAGTGTGCTTGGTTGATTTCCAGTTGGTTTACTGGAGACAATTAAGTATATTTTCAGTTATTTGTAACATTGACTAGACACATTATGTAAAGCTCACAACTTAAACACTGTGTTCTTCCTAAACCTTTGTTCTGTTCTCGAGGTTTTCATGGCTGTATGGTCCTTCATTGTTTGATTGCACTGCTCTTGTTTCACAGTCAAGCTTTTTGAGATAGATTGACTGACAACTGCAGAAACCTCCAAACTTAAAATGCTATATACATGTATTGTAAAGTTTATTTAATTAAGTCTTGGTCATTAAAGATGTGTTATTTTATGAATTCTTCCAAATTCTTTTTGTTCACTTGGTGTTTAATTGTTATATCTTGATTTTATTGTGTTTCTTAGTTTACTATTGATTTCCATGTTACTTGCAAATGATGCTTGTGAAGATGAAATTAAACAGGCAATTTATTTGAATGGGTACTCTTAATTACCATTTGTTGATCATATTGTCTTGTTTTACTGGGGTTGGGAAAGTATTGAACAAGCATAAAGGCCATAAACTAGCTTGCAAGAGAAGTGCAAGATTGTTGCATTGAATTCATTTTCACCATAAAAAAAGTCAGAAAACAATTTACATTTTATAGTAATGGGCAATTTGGTATATATGATAAGGTTACATAATTTTTAATGTCCAACACAATTCCTTGCAATTCAGTTATGTTACTTTTGGTTAAATTTTGATGTTAACAACAAAATTTTCTTTTTTCAGCAAAGAGAGTTGGAAAAGGCTAAAAAGCAGGCTAAAGAGTCCGCTTTACTTCAGCAGTGCAAGAATTCTCTAGGTGAGTTTAATGGGGGACTTTTTTAACCTCCAATAACAGAAGAACCACATGAGATAGAGAGAAATCTCAAGTTGTAGAATTTTTTGTTTTAAGATATAATGATCGTAGAAAATTACATAATTTTAATCACCTAAAACTATGCAGAAATATTTGCTGGAGATTAAATTTGGCTTATTTCAAAATTCGAAACATTAATTTGTCAAGGAAATTGTATCCATTCGTATGAAATTTTTGGCCAGAAATTGTTATCGTGGTTGGATCACAAACCAACAAAATTTTATATCGATGATAATTTCTGCTTCTACTAATATCTGATTGAAATTATACTTTTACAAATACATTATGGAAATGTCAAGGTTTCATCCTCTGTTTAATGGTGAGGCTGATATATGTATAGTTCAATGTATTTGAATCAGCAGAACTCAAGAATGTCAACTAATATGGGTATATATATATATATATATATATATATATATATATATATATATATATATATATATATATATATATATATATATATATATATATATATATATATATATATATAAGATAATTAGTGTCTATAGCAATGTAGAAAAGTGCTGTGATGTATCTTTCTGTTAATGTTTTTGTGACTTTGATAATTTAGAGTCTTGCATTGTGTGTCATTGAATGGTAAAAGGAGTTATCTGTCTAAATTTATCGTTAAATTTGTATAGTCATAATAACACCTTGTCACTTCAAAGAATGCTGCGCTTCTTAAGCAGGTATCCTCGTTTGTTTAGATTGGCATGTTTATACAGGTTTAGTTAACAAAATAATCACAGGTGAATTAGCAGTATTTGGTGACATTGCTGCACCTAAAAATAGTGTCAGATTACAGAGAAGAAGTGTGGCATGCGTAACTACACACAGCCAGCAAAGAGAAATGTTCTAAATCTGTGTATATTTAATTAACTTTGCATAACACATGATATGTTGTATCAATTGATATATAAAAAAAAAATTCTCAGACTTATGGGTATGGATTAAAACTCGTCAATATTCAGGTGTCGATTACCTGGCACAGCAGGTAAATAAAATAAATAACAGAGGCAATCCTGGCTCGTTAACCTTGTCTTGTTACCTCTAAGTCTTGTAGTATAAAGGTTGATTAATAAATCTCTCTCACTGGGATTTAGGTAAATATAATCTGTAAATCTTAATGAAGATTTATGGAGCCTCTATTGGTTGCAAGTCAAAGGGAATTAAATTTAGGCTGTAAATCTACCTAGATAATCCGAACATAATATCTCCATGCATTTGTAACCATACCTGGCTACATTTGTATTAACTGAATGCTTTATACTGTTCTATAAATCAGTATATACAAATATTATCTCAAGTGTGCTTTACGTTGTGATTTTGATCATATTGTATTGACAAAGTTAGTCAATGACAATGCAGATTGGTGATTTTTGTGTTAATTAATAATTTATTGGTGGAAATAATTGAGGGGCCAATGACGCAGTGATTGTTAAGTGTTCTATAGTTCTGTGTTTCTATCTGAGGATTCTCACTATACTATGCAGGTGCCCTGTAACTGTTAAATATGTTTACCCCCAAAACCAGATTGTCCGGGTCCTTGGGGTCATCGCTGGGCAGTTTGGAGGCCATTTCAGGTAAATTATTAACTCTGTACTTTCTGACAGAGGAACTCAGACAATACAAGGTTTGGTTTTGTTTCTGTAAAGAAAAAGAGGCAGTTATGTTTTTTAACTGATGTTTGTTTTGAATGTCATAATTCTTCCTTTACACTATGAAGCATTGAAAAGGGTGAACAAGCAATCCAATATAAGTGTATTTTTAAAAAAAATAATAATTTTTTTTTTCTGTTGCTTTTTTTGTGTATACTATATATAGAAAGTACATGTACATGATTCTACAAACATACATAATATGGGTTGACATGCAAAGAAATTTGGCACAGTATGAAAATTTACTTTTGAATGAATTGAAGTTTTACTCTTGTGAAAGTACTATCCAAAATTAATCTGAATTTTATATCAATTATGTAACCCAATGGATAGCAGTTTTATGTACATGTTGAATACGAACATAGCTGGAACTTTAGACGCTTTGTCATATGACTTGAGTGTATGATATTTAAGAAATCTAAATAAATCTGTTCAGCAGACTGGAAAAAAAATCAATATTGGGGTTTCTTAACCACCTCCAGTGTACACTATAGAGAAAACCCCCTCTATAGATTGTGTGGGAAACAGATTTATGACCAAATCTGGGAAAACTATTCTCTGCCATGTCCCAGTGGCATCCAAATTATTGTCTGGGTTGTCAAAAGAAGTTATTAGATCATATGAGTGGGTTTTTTATGTGGAAACTGCTAAAAAAAATTGAATTGAAAAAAATTTGAATTACTCAGATTTTTGCACCATTTAAAGTAATCAAAAAGCAATTGCATACCACCTTTTATACAACTTTCTGGTCTCATTTTCAGAAGAAGACAGGAAGTCTGCTAGTAAAGAGAGAAAATCCAAAGCTAAAGCAGTGGTCAACACACCACCCTCCCCTGCTGTCCCCTCTAGTCCTGTGAGAACACCATCCAAATCCAGACGCTTCCAACCCAACCTACCCCCAGTCAGCCGCACTCCCACAAACTCGGATCTCCTGGATCGCGATCCCTCATGGAGCATGCCGGAGGGGGATCAGTTACCATGGCATCAAAAACAGCTCTACCAGGTGCTTGGGAAGGGAGCGGACTATTTCTTGCACCCTAAAATCGAGAAGAAAGCTGTTAAACCCATCAACAGCAGGCTGAGAAAGGAAGGAGGTGGGTTTTTAGACTGAAATATTCAGTCATTTTGAGATTTTTTTGGAATTTTATTAAGTCTGCATGTGCATAATTTTGCAGAACGCTTCATGTATATATAGATTCATACTGTCAAATTTTTTGAGGAGATGATATCACAGGAGAATATAACAGTATTTTAAGTGAGTGCTTGAATAATCTCTTAGTTGACCTATTTGAATATTAATAATTGGAAATATTTTCCAATTTCCATATCTGTAAATAATTAATGCCATTTCACTGTTGGAAATTTGAGTCTCTTGTTGGGTCAATAGATGAATGAGTAACTACATGTACTTAAATGGTTTCAAATTTCCAAATGAGTTTATTCATGCACATGAGGTTTATAGCACAAATTTGCTCATCCAGATGTTCTCTTCGTATGGTTATGGTTGAAGCATATGGAGACTTTCATAATAATTGTAATTAATTGGTATAAAGAATTCACTTTCGTGCATAAACCAAAATGTCAGGTTGCATGATTCCAGAGCAGTGCTTCTGACTTGCACATGCATGCAACACTTAAAATTTCTAAGCTTTACTGAAGTTATATTGATCATGTAAGTGTTTATGTTAGAATATGTTTCAGTGATAATAGAGAGTGTAAAACTTTTAATTTTAGGCAAAGTGTTAAAAAAAAAAAAAGATATATTAGAAACCATTTTCAAACTACTTCCTTTGTTGAAAGTGAGAAATGAAGATAAATTTGTAGAGCCTGATATCTTATGACAGGGACAAGGGCAGTAACTGCAGGGCTGTAAATTGACAAGATATTTTTTTTTCTAATTGAATACATTGAAGTGGGTAAAAATTAATTAAAATAATTTTGCTTCCAAAGATATGACTTAATTCTTAATTATATGCAGCTAAGTCCATATTTTTTCCCTGTGGTTGTTTATTTTTATATTCACATTTTCAGACCTGGAGCAAGTTATTTTTGAAAGTTTTCTGTGATTGATTTTATTTGATTTATTTCCCTTCCCCAATTTCGCCCAATTTTCTTACAAGGGAAATAACTGTTACTTTCTTTATGCTGTTACCTAAGAATAAAAAAAAAAACTATCCTCCAACTAATTGATGACTCTTGGCGTGTCGAAGCTTCTCTTGCTTTGTTGTAATGTTCACAAATTTAGCTTTTACCAGCTATGCATGTACAAACCTGCAGAACTAAGTGTAACTTGATATCAGTCAATTTTAAATGCTGCTTACCATCAATTAATACTAATTCAAATGGCATAGCAGAGAATACTTTGAATTGGTGTTTCCTTACTTTACAACCATTTTTTCTATATATTTATTAATTTTGTTAAGAACTTGAAGTTAAAATGAATTGCCCAAAAAAGAAACAAAAAATAAGATTAAGATTCCTAAGAAAATCAATATACTTTATTTTACATTTACTTCAGTACAAATTCATTCTGTGCTAGTTTATGGTGAAAAGTGTATATATCTAAATTAGAGTTAAAATAATTTTGATTTTATTTTCCTTTTTTTTAATATAGGATTTTTGTTGTGTGCTTCAATCACATGATTAAATCATTACTATCCATATATATATCTCAGCCATCATTTTGATATGTAGCTTTGCATGCATGTTGTATATTATTGCTTGCCTTCTCACAGGAAAACGCAGAAGACAGGAGACTTCTGATACGACATTTGATCCCTTAGGTAAAGAGTTATCCCCAATATCCCCAGTTGTGACCAGTCCCTTTGTTATATTCCCTACAATTACTGGCAAATTGATCGTACTCGGAATATTGCTTAATGATTCATTTTGAACAAAGAGAGATAACTCTCATAAGATCAATTTGCTAGTTTTTCCTTTGTTGAAAGTTTTTAACAGTCACTGGTTTTTAAATGTTTAGGTGTAGGAAGGATTATATTAAACTTAAATTTGCGTACATTGAAGACTTGTGAATATAAAGCTTTCCAGTTCATAAAGTAATAGATAAAAGGAAAAAAAAATCTAAGAAAGTTTATGATTTGTTTGTTAAAATTTTCTCCAATGTTAAGAGGATCGGAACCAATTAAATCACTTTGTATTTCACTATGTCATTGTTTTTAACAAGACTTTTGAATACCAAATTTAAGTTTAATCAGAACAATTAAAGGTTGGAAATAATTTTAATTGTGCCTCCATATTTGTGAGGAATTAATTTTCAAAGTTTCTTAATTTGCTTATTTTCATCTAATTTTTCTATTTGGTAATGTAATTAGAACAAGAAATTATCAGAAAAATGGGGCATACTTGAATAGAGCTGACAAATATGTATTAATTGATGTCAGAGGGATATTTATTACTTGTGCTGGTTCAATTTAGATTTGGTACAATGTTTCCTAACCTTACCTAAATTTGTGTGTTTTATAGTACATGTAGTACAATTTATTTGTGGATAACTAATTTGTCACTCAATATAGCGCTAAGCTTAATTTTGACTTTGTCATTATGATAGATTTAGACTTGTAGATGCTGATAAGGGGTTAATGCTGTAATAATGCTTTGTGTTCTGTGTAGCCTGAGGAAAGGGAGATTATAATATGTTGACTCTTTACCATATGTGTAATTCATATGCACTGTCAAGATGTACTGTCTATATATATATCCAGTAAACAAAGAAATTGAATTGTAAGATCCAAATTTTGTCATCAACAGGTCGAGCTGGGGTGGAGCGACTATTGAAGACTTTGAGGGACGAATCCCAGATTCGACTTCTCAAGGCCGACGCCCATATACCACAGGAATTAAAGGTAGAAATTTACAACCTATAACATCACATATACTGTATTATCAGTAGTATATTAACCGTGCTTATTACTGATGGCTTTTTATTAATTATCTATGATATAGCATTTAATCTGATAAGCAGTAATGAAATTAAAAACATTATTTATTTCTGTTTTGAACAACATTTAATATATGTTATAAATCAACAGTATATTTAACTTAAATACCAGTAAAGCACATTTTAATTAATTACATATATATATTGTTTTAATAAAAAAAAGAAAAGAAGCTTTAATATGTAATTAGATTGGAATTTGCATGATTCCTTGTTGGATTGCATGATGGATATAATTAACCTTAAGTATGACCTATTGACCTTGACCTTGGCAGGACACATTCGGAGCCTTTGTAAGGGAGAGTGTTGGGAAAGATCGACCACCAGTTCAGAGGTTTTTCTGTGCAGAAGAAGATGTAAGCACCTCATGTCTCTGTTTGTGTAGGAAGGGTTTCCATGAGAGTGCTTTTATTTAACACATGAATTACAAAATGAAAAAAATTTAATTCCTTAATTTAGCAAAAATTTTATATGCATTAGAAAATTTATTACTGATAAAAAGTGTACTTGTATGCATGGTACTAATAACTTTGACTTTTTAATCTGCATATTCATTTTGGAACAAGAAATTTAAAGTCTATCATAAACTAAGTAGTAACTGTATAGGCATTTTATTTCCTCTGATGTATAAAGTATCGTAATATTTAAGTTGGGTTTTTTTTATTTTCATTGTATCCAGGTTCCCGAGTTAGCTAGACTCCAGGACCACTCTAAGTCTGCTCAAGTGAGACATTACAAGCACAAGACAGACCTGATGTTCCGAGCTTCTAAAAACAATGAAGACAGAACTAACATTCTGATTCACAATAACCCTCCCCCAGAAGTAGCTTCTGTAGACCCCGAGGATGATGGGGTGGGACGTTATCTACCTTCCTGGGTTGACGACCTTGTAAGTTAATGATATTCCTATAGAAACTTCTAAAGGCTTCTATGGAGGCATATTTTTTTAATGATAGAAGTAAATTAATTTTGTAAAAGTACTAAAAGTGTAGATTGTTTCAAGTAAATTAGACTGACAGAAAAGGTTCAACAGAACTCTAACTTCGTTGCACTGAATCCAGCTAGAATATAAAATTTATTTGAGAGCATGCATTTTTGTTCATTTGGTCATATTTTGACCATATTCTACTTTGATGTTAAATGATTTTTTTTGTATAATTTAAAATTGGATATTAATGCAATAATTTGTTTTTAAAAATATACAAAGGATATGCTCATTATGATATAGGTTTTCTAAAAATGTATTTGTACATTGTAGGCAGAATCGGAGCCTGATTACATGAAATGGGTTAAGGAAGGTAAACACACCCATCGTGACCTTACAAGTCAACCAATCAGAGAAGATGAGGAAGAACCAGAGAGACCAGAGGAAGAGAAGGCTGAAGAGTTTACAGATGAGGTTATTCTGCAGATGAGTCAAAGAAAACACCATAAACCTCAGCCCAAGTACATCTTCATCAAAGACGAGGACACAAACTTTAAAGGGACCTTTACAGACAAGTTCCGAGATATGTACGATAACGCAGACATTCCCCGACCATTTAATGCTAATAAGCTTCCATCCCCTACCAAGTCCAAATCCGTGCTGGGACTTACCACAGAGGACATGGCTGAAGGTATGGGGAATAACTCTGCTTACTGCTATTCAGTAAACAGAATTGAGGTGTTATATTATTTATAAACCTTATTAGTGACTTTAAATAATTTCAAATCAAAAGTTTGATTGCATGACTACTTTATAATCCACCCTGAATTATTGCATCATCAATATTAAAAAATGTCTTGCATGCAGTTAGAATTTGCTTTGCTCTTTATGTTAAGTCCTTTCCATGTAATTTCTACTTTATATTGTAATTTCAAAACCTTATTCAGAAAATATAACAACATCATACAGAAATACATAAGATCTCGGTGTACATTTTATTTTTCAGATGATCGACCTTCCTGCCAGTCAGCTCCTATTCCCAGCAGACACCATCGTTATTATGATTATGTATCCCAATGGGAGCCCCTAAGTATGAATGCACTGATAGAGTACACAAAGAAGAAAGAGGCTGAGGGGGCAGGAGAGTTCAACCAGGGTCGTCCTAAAATGTGGACCAATCAAGTCAAGGTTACATGACCTGAATGATTATTGGTTAAGAAAGACTTACTCTCTGTGATCTGTGGATGTGATTTAATTCTTGATATGAGAAAATTGTGTTAGGAAATGGGCATAGTATTTTTACTGGCAGTAGTTGAATTTGTAATGTAAACATAAGAGGTTTTAAAGTAATATTTATTCAGTATTATATTTTTGCAAGTATTGCTGAAATTTTGAAACTGTGATATTTTTGGAGATTTTATTATATCCGTCCAACTTTTCTATTTTGAGCTACATGTATATTGCATTTCTAAAGATGGCCAACTTTATGATGAGATGAATAAATAATGTTAAAAATATTTTTAACATTGTATTGTTTATATTTGTAATAATTACACAGATAAGAACTACTTTATTCCCTCAGTACCTGGCTGAGGCAATCTGGTTACAATAAATTTTATTCATTCAAAATTATTCGTATTTTGTCTGCACAGTAATTATACATATTTGGAGGATTTTGGTGAAGATTTTTGGAAACATTGTTTACTTCAAACCTGATGAGTCATCCTGTGTACACTGTCTCTAAACAGATGAACAATTTTTAGTTTTGTCCCCGGAATTTTGAAAATGTTATCCAGTATTTTGGAATATGAACTTTAAAGAAAATGAAAAAAAAAATTTGAAGATCACAGTTTTTGCTCTTTGAAGATTTAGGATGGCACTAAAACTTGATATAAATCATATTTTAATACATTATGTTTGCTCCTGGATGTTGGGTACAAGGTGTTTGTGTGATTATAATGAGGAAATATTTTGGCATTAGACAGGTAAATTGTTAACATGATGAAAATAAGAAAATTGCTTTCTGCAACTCAAAAAGTTGTATGCAATTTTATCTAGGTTCCAAGGCTCAAGATTCAGTTTGGTCTTATTTTGGAAATTCAAAATATTTTTGAAAAAATTTTTCTTCACTCCTGGAAGTCTAGGAGAGAAATTGCCAGTACTTGTGATGATTAGCTCCTAAACTGAATTCCCTTGGTCAGGAAGTGAGTAAGTTTGATTTTTAAAAATGCAGGATATACTATAAATAGTCATACCTAAAAAAAAAAAATTCAGGAGTGACTTTTTTTTTAAAGTAAATGCAAGTTTAAAGCTGACATGAATTTTTAAATAGGCAAAATTTTTATTAACATACGATTTCATCCCTGTACGCCGTCTTATTTCATATCTCCTTCTTCTTCCTTTAAAGTGAAGGGCCACTACTGCGGCATTATCTCACTACAGATACTCTATCTATTGTTCTACTCAATCTCATCTCTAATGGTGAAGTGTTCTAGGACACATGAATTGACTGAAATGCTATAAATCTCGGAATTATTCCTAAAATGGATATAATACGTTGAAGTTATGTTTAGGTTATGAAACATGTATTTTTGATGCACACTAATATGTGCACAGTAAACTTGACAGTTAACTCGTGCAAATATTTGACAAGCAACCAGAATGCATGCTATGTATGTACATATGAGGGGTTGTCCCAAGAAGTTGTAAACAATGTTTATAAACTTTGTAAATATTCAACCAATAATAACCATGATTTTGCATGACTATCATTCATTAAATGTTCCTTGAAATAATGAATTTTGAAGTAAAAATCTACATAAGAAGGCCGGTACGGCCTATCGGCGGACGCTCAAAATCCGGGAGAAATTGTTAAGTACTGTCGATCAAAATCCGGGAGAAAGTACAATCCTTTCTCTGATAATATGTCCAACTTCAAATTCATATTCCATTCCAGATATAAACATCACATGATGGTGATAAGCTCAACACTAAACACGCATTCCTAAAGCTCACCTTGCATTACTAACATTTTGATGTTGTTGTTGTCGTTAAATTCTACTCCTTCCAGTTTTGATTTAATTGCAACAAAACTTCGTACGAGTTTAGAAAACACCATGATACATAATTCGGTAAATGTTTGTAACAATACGAGTATAAACCAGTAGAGCTCAGTCTCATCAGAGACTTCTTGTTGGAAACTTGTCTTGAATCAAGCTTTTATGTTTTAAATAGTTTGCGAAAGCGAGGGAACATTGAAGCTCATTGGTCTGTCAGTCCGTCTGTCACAAAAACTTTAACCTTGGGCATAACTTTTGAATGTGAAAAGATAGGGCTGTCATATTTCACTTGTACAAGTGAAAAGTAATGCCGCAACTGCTCTAAAATTTTGAATAATCGAATATTCTCATACATACTAATATCCCTATCAATGATGACTTTTTCTTTAAAAATTCAATCAGTTATTTGCAATGCTTTTTAAAATAACAAGATTAATACAAAATTAGCCTTTGTCTGTCGCCGCACTGCAAAAATGTTTTAATAAAATTATTCCTTTTGCATAGAGCTTTTGTATCGTCAGATTCAAGAGTACATGTTGAAAAGATTGATAACCTGACTTAATTAATTTATTTATATTTAACGCAAGATTTGACGTCCAAAACATTGACCACTAACAAGGGAAATAATCAACATTATTAAGATACAAAAATTGCATAAAATACCAACGTAAATGGAAGGATGCTTAATTTGATTGATTGATTGTTGTTTTACGTCCCGTTCGAGAATTTTTCACTCATAGAGAGACGTCACCATATACCGGTGAAGGGCTTCAATTTTGACCTTTACTCAGCACTCGGGGGACATTGAGCAGTGAGGGTTCTTTATCGTGCCAACGCCTGCCGTAACACGGGGCCTCGGTTTTTAAGGTCTCATCCGAAGGACCCGCAACTTTCACTTCAAAGTGCCGAGCGCATGGCGAAGGAACAGTTGCTACCCATCTTTTATCGACTTGGGTCAGTCGCGGCCGAGATTCAGTCGAACTCACGACCTCCCGATCACGGAGCAAGCGCTCTACCACTTTGAAGAAGAAAGTGTGTGGAAGATGAGCCTTTCACGTCACTTCTTGTACGCAGAGATGGATTTGCAAATGCACTATGGAAAGCTAGAACAGTTTTTTTAAAAGCTCAAAGCTAGATGCTTTCGCACAAGTTGAGAGTGTACATGAACCAATCAAATTTGCCAGAAAGCATCTTTGGGTAAAGAGGATTCAAGTTTGGTCACAGGAAGTGCAAGGCCCTCTTTTAAGCGGAGATAATAAAGAATTCGTGAAAATTGGGTGGCATCTTTTAAGAATCGTTTTATCAAGAATCACTGGGACAATAAAGATGAAACATGTGAGAGCTTCATTACATACTGTAAATTCAAATTTGTTCATAACATGACCCCCGGGGGTAGGGGGAGCCACAACAGGGGGTCGAAGTTTTACATAGGAATATATAGGAAATGTCTTTAAAATATTTTTCTCAAGAACAGCAAAGCCATAATTAGTCTTAATTTGGTCATATCATGACCCCGGGGGTAGGACAGGGCCACGGCAGGGGTCGAAGTTTTACATAAGAATATATGGGAAATATCTAAAAAAAAAAAATCTTCTCAAGAACAGCAAAGCTATTATTAGTCATATTGATATAGAAGCATCCTCAGGTAGTGTAGATTGAAGTTTGTACAAATCATGACCAACGGGGGTAGGGTGGGGCTACAACAGGGGATCAAAGTGATACGTAGGAGTATCTAGGAAATATCTTAAAAAATCTTCTCAAGAACAGCAAGCCATGATTAGTCATATTTATATGGAATTATCTTTAGGTAGTGTATATTTAAATTTGTTCAAATCGAGACCCCTGGCTGTAGGGTGGGGCAGAAATGGGGGATCAAAGTTTAATATAGGAATATATAGGACAAGTGTTTAAAAATCATTTTCCCAGGAACAGCAAAGCCATGATCAGTCATATTTAGATGGTAGCATCTTCAAATAGTGTAGATTGAAGTTTGTTCAAATCATGACCCCTGGGAATAGGACGAGCCCACAATGGGCAATCAAAGTTTTACATAAGAACGCATAGGCAAAATCTTTAAAAGTCTTCTTCTCAACAATAGAAAATTCATGATTCGTCTTATTTGTATGGAAGCATCCTCAGGTAGTGTAAATTGAAGTTTGCTCAAATCATGATCCCCTTGGGTAGGATGGGGCCATAAAAAGTTATCAAAGTTTTACAAAAGAATATGTAGGGAAAATAATCTGCTGATGAAGAACAGAAGGGCCATAGTTACTCAGATGAGCATTGTGATCCATGGGCCTCTTGATACGGGTAGTGCACTTGTCAAATATGAACGTACTAGGCTATCATATCCCTTTCAAAAGTTATCACCAATATTAAAATGTTTGAAAATTAGGTCAAATTTGGCGGTCAAGGTCACGGATCGAGTCAAAAATCATACCATGCAAAAAAAAAATGTCTTGTCACAGATAATGCACATGTCGAATTTGAAAGCCCTAGCATTTCTCATTCAGAAGTTATAAATGATGATAATTTTTTTTTTTTGAAAAGTAGGTCAAACTATGACATGTAGGTCAAACTATGACCTCAAGGTCAATGTCAAGGGGTCAAAAATCGTAGAATATTTGGAAAGGTCTTAAGCTTGTCACAGGTAATGTACATCTGAAATAAGAAATTCCTATTTTTTCTAATTCAAAATTTATAACTAGGGTTAAAGTAATGTTAAAATTTTAGAAAAGTAGGTCAAACATCAAGGTCAGGGGTAAAAAAAATCACAGTACATGTACGTGTGGAAAAGTCTTGTCACAGGTAATATACATGTGAACTATGACATCCCTATCTGTTTTAGTTAAAAGATAATGACCAAGGTTAAAGTTTGTTAAAATTTGTGAAAAATAGGTCAAACTTCAAGGTCGCGGGTCATAAATCATAGTAGACTTAGAAAGGGCTTTTCACATATACATGTGCATGTATATATATGTGAAATATGAAAGTCCTATCTATTCTCAATTAAAAGTTATGACCAAGGTTTAAGCTTTTGTAACTGACAGACTGACAGACAAATGAGGTTTAATGTCCCCTAGCTTTCGCGAAAGTGGGGGACAAAAATATGATGGCATGTGTAAAGCAGCAGTCTTGGTTTTTGACTATAATTAAGTTCTAATAAAACATATTTGTATTCTGCGTAATAAATCTACATTTTTTTAATTCAGGAATTTTGCTATTTCTTTAACACCTGAATTATGTTATAATCATGTTAATATTAAAGATGAAAATTTTGGGTACTTAAAATATCTTCAATATTTTACAATTCAATTTGCTCTTTGATGCGGATCTATTTTTGGACCCCCCCCTTCTTGGAAAAAATCCCGGATCCGCCCACGGACTACATATTTTTAAAGTATTTACGAAAGTTAATATATTTACTCAAACTTTAACTTATTGATATGAACTTACAACTTTATAGATTTGCTTAAAAATGTTAAATGAAATTCAAATATGCCATTAGTTTTAAATACAAACTATTTTCTGCAATGTATTGATGATTATGGAAGGAAGTGGTGGTGGTGAAATATCTAGTGAGGCAGTTGTCACAATGAAAGCTACACCACTGTCACTGAACCAAAAAAACCCCATAATATGACCTGTTTTCGCGTATTATGTACTTTTTCTGCCATGCTGCCCCCCCCCCCCCCCCGCAAAAAAAGATACATCAAATGACCATGCAAGTTTGATCGAGGTAAGTATACAAAGCCATATTGCCAAAATAAGGCAACAGTTACCATGGTATGATTTAAATGTCATTTTGATCTGTGAATGAAATCTTTAAAAACATCCCACTTACAGAAAGATCGAAATACTGGAGAATCGTATTTTAAAAAGAAATTGAAATTGCATGTATATAACTTGTGAAATTCAGTTAAGAAAAATTGCTAATTTTAAAATTTCAACAAAACAAGAATCATATAAAATAATTAAGTCTAAATCGGTCTTTCAATGCTGAAATTGTTTTTACAAAAGAGGTATTTAAAAATCCAATATTGGCATTAAATTTTTGATGTGGTATTCCTCCTTAATATGAAAAAAGAAAATACCAGGGAACGAAAAGTTCCGTGACCAAGTGACTTGCCCTCAAAGAACTGGACTGTTAGCATATATAAAGGATTAAAGAGGGATAAATGTGGCCAAATAGCAAAGACACTTAATTTTTGTACTTTGAGATGTTTTTCGTTTTTTAGCTCTGTCCTTGATTAAAAATAGATATGCCCGTTGTCACGTGACACGCATAACTGCATAAATTAAGATGGCGACTTGCTGAATGAAAACCTGCCCTTGTGAGACTTTCTTCCAAAATTTCGTCCTTATGAAGAAGAGAATTTGGCCTCAAACACAATATGTCGGAAATAAATACCAGTGACCTAACTCCTGATGAACTTCGGAGGGAACTTGAACGTCTGCAGACCGAGTTACAAGAAACGACCCAAGAGAAGGTGCAGGCTGCAGAATATGGTCTCGCCGTTCTAGAGGAGAAAGAACGCCTGCGACAGCAGATAGAGGAGGTAGAGGCACAGTATGAAGCCGTAAAGCACGAGCTCGATTGCGCTAAAGAGGTAAGGATTCGCCATTGATTTTTTTATGGTTTAAATCTAATTTAGATGTACTGTATAAAACATACAATGAATGACACATGTGTGTGTATTGGAAACACAATTCTGATAGCCGGCATTCGTACTATAAATCCCTTTACATTATATTTTGATGCCATGGCATTTAAATCGAGATATGAACAACTTGTGTTAGGTATTAAAATTTTCAGCGTCTTTGTTTTTATTTAATTATCATTATTATCAATTAATCATGTTTATTTTACAAAACTGCACCACACGTCAAAGCAGCATACCCATTACATTGAGTCACTGTTGACTGTGTTACCTTGTTGACTAATACTTTACCTGCATCAGACATGTGTGTAGGTATTACTAGGTGCAGTGTATCTTGTGTATATTTATTGATATGTTTTGTCTTTATATTGACTATTATAACATTAGCTACTGAAAATTAATCACTGTAAATGCTTGTATATCAGTGTACATTACGTGTTTATGTTTATTGTCATTGGGAAATATATGGCCCTGGCCATTTACATTCTATCCTAAGTATACCACTCGTACAGAATAGAATATCAATTTCAAACACTTACAAAAAGGATTTTCCTTGAATAGACTATTAGTACCCTTGACTATATAGTTTTTTTTTTAAGTAGTTCATATTGTTTTCATTTATCATGTTTAAGAAGTTCATTCTGTTTTCATTTATCATGTTTCTTCCATATCATTTCAACCATTAATGAAAGTTTCAAATGCTTAATACAGTATGTTTTATGTTTTAAATATAAATTTGTATTATAATAATAGTTGCGGGCAAACGTATCATGGGTAAATATAACTTTTGATCTTCAAATCAAACTCTTCTTTTGGGAAAGGTGTATTTTATTAGATGTTGCCATGATAATTGAAATCTGCAAATTTATATGAACTAAATGCTTATTCTAGCATTGTATTCCATAATTCCTCTGACTTAAGTTAGCAAACAAACGGGCATCCCTTCTCTGCTTGTTTGGATCATGATGGGACAAAAAGACGTCAGAGGAAATTTGGAACTACATTGCAATTAGTGTTAAGAGTGTCGTAACCAGCCTCACTCTGAGTTCAGCACAGTGATACATATTTCTGATCACAGTAGCACTGTTTTTGTTTTGCTGCATTTTTCTTTTTGTTTGATCACATCTGAATTTAGACTGAAAATTTGTTTATTGGATTCCACCAGGATCTTGCTGTGACACATAAGAATCCCGAAACATAGTGTTTAGTGTATATTGATTAAATTTTAAACTGTGAGCTAGTGACTGAGTACAAGTAATTTGAGCATTGGAAAAAAAAATTTGCCTTTCTCTATTTCTGACATGAAACAATGATAGGATGATAAGAAACAAATCTCATATTGACCATAAAGCAGGATCAGTATAAATGAAGGATTTCTTTTGCTTTATATGATGGAGGGTTTCACCATTCTAAATTTAACTGCAATATTTCATCAATTACTTATTGTAAATAGAAGATACAGGATAATCATCAAGATTTCATGAACATGCAATATCTTTACCTTCATTAGTATTATAATTCTTAACTATTAATTAAAATGAGGTATTTGATCCTCTTTTTAAAAAAAGTTATGTTAGATTTAGCTATCATCAGCAGTAATTTTTATTTTATTACACCTGTAATTAGAGACAGGTGTAATTACTAATTAAGCAGCAAGCATGTCCTGTCATGCCACAGGCTTTCACTGCAGTACTAACATGTTTACAGCTATGTAACACGTGTGTTCCTTGTACATATTCTGAGTTGACAAAATTAGAGAGTCAACTAAAACATAGCCACATCCTTCTTTTTTAAAAATCATGGTATGATTTAAATGTTAGATGTATACTTATGCTATGAATATACTAGTGTGAATACTATAGTAAAGTCAGACTGAAGATGTAAGGATGTTGTCCTAAACAAATAGTAATTAGAGTCAGAACAAGTAGAATCACTCTAGCTCTGAACTATATAGTAATTCTGTTTGGAGAAATATTTAATATGTAATATTTTTGGCTGTATATTGCTCTTAACATTTGATTATACTATGAATCACCAATAATGACTGTCTAGCTGACATACATTTATAGTGATACACATCAAAACAAGAATGTAATTATGACACCTGAATGGTGTTACCTGTTTGTAATCTGTGTCACAAGGTAAACTAAATAATGATATAGGTGGTCCCCTAGACAATTTTATGATTACCCAACCCCTGACTCTTAGAAATGAGATACATGGAGCAATGTGAGTTTGGTATAACTTTAATCCACCAAAAGCTTTGTGTACACATTAATTAATTAGTGACAGGCTTGGGACAGGAAGATACAGGTGTGTCACAGTGCTCTAATTTGGACAGGTAGACATTATGGCTGTCAGCTCAGGTTTGAAGTTCTGTGTTTTGATCTCCAGTGACATCAGTAGCCACTTCCTGCCTTGCATTGCACAGTAATGGGACTGACCTGTTTTGGATCAAAAAATCTACTAAATCCAAGATTGATATGTCTTCCCCCAGTCTGGCATTCCAACACAGAGGTTTTAGAGCTTATAAAATAGTTTTAAGACCTGCCATGATAATTAACCATCAATGAATCAATAATTGTGTTTCCAAGGCTAAACACTGATGGTATTGTCACCAATTTACACATTGGACATACACTTGCACTGCAGAATTAATAATTCAAGAAACATTTGCAGAGTCACAAAATGTTGTAGTACTGTAATAGCTGGAAACACTAAAATGGTATAGAAATCCCAGTTTACCAGCAGATTCAGTAAGATCTTGCATTGATTGCAGAACATAATAATGCAAATAAAATATTGATGAATTTATGTACATGAAATATACAAGCTTACAAATACTACTATATATTTTTAATCAGGGTAATTTAAGGTCATGGAGCAGCTGACGTATGACCCTGCTTGAATGTGTTTAATGCATTAGAGAGGATTGTTAGCAGCAGCTGTTTATATCAAACAACGGTTTTCTCTATCTTATTAAATCTCTCTGTAATACATCTGAGGAATAGAGCCAGCAAATCTGAGAGACTGCATGCATCTGTTAATATGGCTGATGATAAAAAAAATCCTACATGTAATTTGTAATTCAGGATACAAACAGTGCTAGAATTGATGAAAGGTTTTAGTCAATCCTGACAAAGAGAAGGCACTGATTCATGTAATTAAGCATGCACATGTCATGATCTGTTATTCGTTGTAAAGGATCATCTCTGTCTTATGCATCTTACCACCGACACTGTTGGTTTATTTAGTGAGAATTATAAGGTATTGTTGAGACTAAAGTGTTGTCAATGATGTAACATTATTTACTGGGCCTTTAGTTGGGAGTGGGGCTGTCGCATCATATTAGATTACATTTCTACTACTCTTGTAACTCAGAAACATGAACAAGACAACATCAATGTACAATATTCCACAGATATTCAAATCCAGATAAATTGGGTATTCTAAAAATATCATATAGCCATGCAGATTCGAACATTTTCATTGAAAATTACATAACACTGTGTATGGGGCAATATTCTTTAACTTGATAAAATTCTCAAACTAGAAACATTGGTAGATGTTGACATCAAAAACATTCTACTCTCAGTTCCATGACTTTGCATAGATTTTGCTTACACATGGTCTCATTCATGCCCCACAGCAATAGAGTTGGTATACTTATGGGGAGGAGTACTGATCAAATACATGTATGCTATCTCAACCTTCATCAGAACTCTCTGTCTTTGATAATGAGATGTTAATTAAGTACAGTATGTAATTATCTGGATTATCATCATCCTGTTAATCAGGAACCAATATTACATGCCTTCCTAAACAAGAGCACTGTTTTTTTCCTGTTGATGATATCAGAGATTACAAGGAACTCTGAGCTGACAATATAGGATAACCTTGTGTATGGATTTTTTAGAAAAACTGAAATGTAATAAAAGTTTGGATAGCACAGCAACATTTCTGTGACTCAGAGATCTTTTGTTTCGATTTTCTAAAGGGGGAAAAAAAAACCTCACTTTTTATTTATCTGGAGAGCAGAGTCTGGTAATTTATAAACAAAAAATGATCCAAATAAATGAAGTATTTTTCGTATTGAAGTACTAATAACAAGAATTTTAGCTTATTTAAAGAAGGTATCAAATATTCCACTAAAATAATGTTCTCATGATATTTAAGGAGGGGTATACTTGTTGTGTGTAAAGATTCAATAGTGATTGTGATGACTAAATATTAGGGCTGGGTATTGGTGGGAAATTTCGTATTGTAATGTATTGCGATATTTGGAACTGCATTGCGATATGTATTGCAATATTTTTAATAACAGTGAAAATGCTCTTTTCTTATTTTATTAACCTCCATTTATAATCAGAGTGTATAAAACTTTTATAAGTACGTTGTAACAAAAAAAAAATTCTTGTTGATTTTACTACAGATTGGCACCAAAATGCAACCATACAACAGATCTTTTACCCTTTGGTACTATTTGGCACGATTGAAAACGTTTCTGACAGCTTAAATTTCATATTTCACTTCATAAATCTAAAGCCCAATCATTTTGCTGGTATATCGGTACTGCGATATTTTTTGTTAACGAATCGCAATATACCGGAATATCGATATTATTGCGCAGCCCTACTAAATATCCTCATTTTAAACAAACATGGACATTTACTTAATGTTATTTAACAATGTGTCATGAGTCACAGAGAGAGTTTCAATGGAAAATAATGAATAAAGTATTTGAATAAAATATTTCTTTCAATTGATCTATCCCAGTTTTTTGGACAAGGTTATCATATTTGATATTTAGATATTGGCTTAGATCCACAATCTTAAGCAGGGCAAAATTTGACAGAATTGACCTTTTAACAAGACAATTTCATAAGGAATAATATTAGACATTTATCTCAGTAAGAGTTGTTTCTCTTATTAGAGTATCAGTGAACCTTAAATCTATTTTGTTTAAAATTTTTGCAACCTTGATACATTCCACATAGATGTATCTTGATTTTTGTTCCTGTTCTCTATTGAAGGCCCTTAGCAAACACCAGGACACCTTTCGAAAGCAGCAGAAATCTGGAATCCACCATGAAGACACGTTTCTACAGGAAGCTGCCTCTCGGGAAGAAAGCTACAAGTCCACCCTTATTGAGTATGAGACTGAACTCAAAACATGCAAGCAGGCAATCGAGCGCTTTTCTTCAGAGAATGAGCGCTTGAATGCAGCTCTGCTTGAGTGTCAACAACACAATGACAGTCTTGAGGAACAGCGTCGGCAGATTAAGAATGAGATCCGCGAGTACAAGATTCGAGAGAATCGGAACTTGGCGGATTATGCCGAACTGGAAGATGAAAATATCATGCTGCAGAAACAGGTTTCTCAACTTAAGCAGAGCCAAGTAGAGTTTGAGGGTAAGTTGTATAATATGCTGCTGGTTTGGTAAGAACAGGTAACCCTCATTATTATTAATTAAAGATTTAAGGAAAATTGCACTTAATGAATTATTCTAACAATGATATTATGTTAACAAAAATAAAAACACAGGACTTTAAAATTCATTTTGTTTTTTAATAAAATGCTGAAAATTATGGCAAGTTTAATATGTTGATAGCTCACCTTATTTAAGGCTCAAGTGAGATGCTCTGATCAAAGTTTGTCAAGGATCTCTCTGTGTGCATGTCCCTCTTTCCATCAATCTGGATGTCTGTAATTGTGTAATTGCTTCACATTTTCTACTTCTTGTTCTGAACCACTGGGTCAATTTAAATCATACTTGCCAAAGTATTAATTACTAGGTAAAACGATTCAAAACATCCTTATAATTATATGTACTTGGAGAATTTGTTGAAAGTATAGTCTTCTGGCATAGTTTGGAGTTGCAGTGAGGGATTACATTTATCAAGCTTTAGGTCTTGATGGATGAGATAGAAAAAAAAAAGTTACTTAGGTGAGCATAGTGACTCATGGGCCTCTAGTAAAAATTGCCCAAACAGTGCACCTTATATTCAAATAAACTGTTGATTATATATCTTTTTTTCAATAATTTCAGGCATGAAGCATGAGGTGAAGCGACTCCAAGAAGAGGCTGATGACCTAAATGTGCAGTTGGATGATGCTGTAAATCTAAAAAAAATTGTGGATAAAAATTATGAAGAAGCCATAGCAGCACTTCAACATGAGAGAGAACAGAAACATGCACTTAAGAAAGAACTGGACACCAGGCTGAATCAGGAGTCCATGTTTAATCTGAGTAACCTGGCTCAGCTTGGAGGACTGACAGATGGATTACCACGCTCAGTGAACCATGATAATGGAGTTGCCCCTGATGAAGACGATAGCGAGAACCCTGCTCTGAGGCGGATTGAAGCAGACTTCAAAAAGGATGACACCAAGTCACCTGTCAAACCTGGGCCAGGAAAAGTTAATGATATACTGAGTGAGATTCAGGAGAATGAAGTGAAAAAACTAGAACAATTACTGGAGCAGAGTGAATCAGAAAAATCAGAACTTCAGAATGCTTTGGAGGAGGCTCAGAAACTCATTGAGGACACTCAAAAGGACCTCATCGAGCAAAAGAGCAGAGCAGATCAACTCAAAGCGCAGATCTCCTCAGTTATCAGCTCTCCAGAGTCTCCAGGTGTTGATGACTCATTGGATGAACTGATCGCCAAGGAGACTGATCCAGAGAAGAAGGCACTGTTAGAGATGAAGAAAAACTTGGTTTCTAATGAGCAGAAATACTCAACAGCTTTATCCGAGATTACCCACTTACAGAGTGAAATCAGTAAACTGCAGGAGAAAGGGCACAGTGGTTCTATGCAGGGAAACAAGGAGTTTGACAGTGCAATTGATGACTTAAGAAGTAAATGTAACCATTATGAGGAGCTGATCAAGGATTTGGAGAAGGATCTGAAAACAATGACAGTAGCTGCTGGGGAAGCACAGGGAAGTCTAAATACCACACAGGACGAGCTAGTCAGGACCACTGAGGAACTGGCCCAGCTTTATCATCTTGTATGTGAAGTAACAGGAGAAACACCTAGCAGGGTTATGTTAGACCATGCAAAGGCATCATCACAACTCTCACGGCAAGAGAATGGTGAAGAAAAAGAAAGTGAAAACCAAGACGAGACCTCACCAAAGACCACTAAAAAATCAAAATCCAAAAAAGACATTTCTGGTAGTGAAATTAAGGGTGATCCTATCTCCTGCTATAAACTTACTGAGACAATCATTGATCAAGTGAAATATCTCAGGCGAGCTGTGGAACATCTCATGGAGGTATCTCGACAACGTGGCGATGACTCAGAAAGTTCTGATGTACTAGAATTACAGGAACAAATAGTGAAACTCAAAGCCATGTTGTCCACAAAGAGAGAACAAATAGCAACACTGAGGAGTGTTCTGAAGGCCAACAAATCAACAGCTGAAATTGCTCTAGCTAATCTCAAACAAAAGTATGAAAATGAGAAAGTGATAGTGACAGAGACCATGATGAAACTCAGAAATGAACTAAAAGCACTCAAAGAAGATGCTGCAACGTTTGCCTCATTAAGAGCCATTTTTGCCCAAAGATGTGACGAGTACGTAACACAGCTGGACGAACAACAGCGACAACTGATCAGCGCAGAGGAGGAAAAGAAAACACTGAACTCACTACTGCGAATGGCAATCCAACAGAAACTGACGCTGACTCAAAGGCTGGAGGATCTAGAGTTTGATAGGGAGAGGCGGAGTCTTAGACGACAAGATGGGGGTGGAAGGGGGCGGAGTAAGACGGCGTCCAAAGTAAGTCACTCCCACAACTCTTATCCTGACGAGCGGCCCGGGGGTGTGAGGTCTTATCACCATAACTACAGGCGTGACTATTAGTCGCCTGTTTGCGGTGAGTTTGTCAAATCGACATGATTACTTAGGAATGCTTGGCAACCATACCTCTTTAATCAAAACTTTTAACTATTCCTACATTTTGTATTCTTTTACATAATACAATCTGAAATATATTCTTTCTTTTATATGTAATTTTAAAGTATTTTCATAATCTTCATCTTTAAGGTGCATGATTGCTTTATCAATTAATTGCAAAATTTTCATATTAAATTATAGGTATGAACAGTTTGAAACTTTCTTTTAAATGAATGTTACTCTATATACCAGTACATACGGCTATAAAAGAATGAATTGTTATCTGCAGAAATACTTTGTATGGGAATTAATCTTTTATTTTACTTTTTATTCATACTTTATTGAGGGAATCTAAAAAAAAAAAAAAGTTGCCACAATTGTTCTGTCTACTTCACATTATTTTCAGTAAAATGATATTTTTTACAATACTATCTTTCATGGAGAAAAATATTGGAAAAAGAAATCTTATTTTTAATTTTGGAATATTTTATCAAAATGCATATAAATGATGGCAAAAGTAAATGGAGGAATGGTTGCCAGCAACAGCACTATCTCCTATGCTTAGTCCTGTACCGCTAGAGGTGAAGGTCAGGTCACTGGTTTGTATTTAACCATGGTAACAGTACATGTAGGTCATTGTCCACGGGAGATATAGGTAATTGCTGTAAATAATCCTTGTCTGAAGTAAATACTAATATCTTAAACTAATTTACAAGAGTATGAAATCATGCATGTCCACAGCAACACAGTAGTGAACGATTCTAAGTGCAAACTTTCCGAAATCATGCAAATTCATGCATATTAAGAGAGTACTGTAGATTCCTTAGATTTTGAAAGTATTTGATTTGGCCAGATAACGGTTTGCATCAGTTTGCATATTTTGCGAGAGCATCAATTTATAAAAACATAAATTTATATATTTTTCGCAATCAATGAAATTTAGAAGGTTAAGTTGTAAAATTATTGCACCAAGTAATCTGTCATAGGTACTTTCTAGATAACGTCAAAATAAGTGATGGATATGAAAATTTGTACTGCGCTATATCACGATTTTTTCTAAAAATATCACAATATCATGATGTTTTTACATGTAATTTTTGCTATGATTTTAAATGAATTTCCATGATTTTTCTAACAAATATAGTGCAAAAACATTACTTCACTTTTTTCATTTTTATTATATTTGTATACAGTCAAACCTCATTATCGTGAACTCCATGGGACCGAGAAAAAACTTTGAGATATCCAAGGGTTTGAGATATCAAGGGTAAAATACTTATAGAATAAGGGGTTGGAACTTTCAAATCACTTCGACACATCCATGGTATTCGAGATATCAGTGTTCGAGATACCGAAGTTCAACTGTATATAAATAACGCATGTTAGGATGTTAGGATGCTGTTGTTTTTCTGTTTTACAACACTTTTTACAATTCCTGTAATTGTAATTCAAGAGTTAATTTGAACCAAAAAAAAATTGTTTCCAGAATTTATAAATACATTGTACATACTAAATACCAGTATTTTAGTCTCCATATCACGATACATATTGCGTAATAAAAAAAAGGCATGATATACCAGTATACCAATAAAATCGCACATCCCTAGTCAAAATCATATGTGATGTAAATAAGGAAGAAATCTGATATGAAATCTGCTCTGGAAATGAAAAAAGCTTAATATTAAAACAGCAAATTCAAGATTCTTTAAGAGATGCTCATTACAATATTTGCAGGAATGTTAATATTTTCTTTTATTTAAAACAAGGAATCTACAGTAATGGAGTGAAAAGTGTTTTCCTTATCAATCAAACACGAACTGGCAAAGGATTGTAAAGGATTTAATTTTATTAATAATTTTACATTTGTCTGTATCTTTACTTCATAAAGTTATGGACTGAGTTTTGAATGGATGAAATTCAATATTGAAGTGCATTTAGTCAAAAGGTAATCATGAAACCACATTTAATAATTACAAAAAAACTTGGTGTTTTTTTTTGTTTTTTTTTTGGGGGGGGGGGGGTATGAACATTAAATATGGGAGGAGCTTAATTAAAAGTCTGCTTGTTGGAGGAGTGCCCTAGCTGGCTCAGCAATTTCAAAGTCTTCAAACTTGGGATTATTAAATCTCAAAATTCTTTGAAATCAAATTTCTTGTACAATAATTTGGAAAGAAGTTGCTTCAAAATTTTTTGTTTCCAAGTATATATATATATCAAGATAGATACATGCACTGGGTACATGAACTACAGTAAAACTTGTTTAGTATGAACACACATATAGCAAATTTATGCATTCTAGGAGAATCTTTCTTTCTTTGCATTTTTGAACACGAGAATGATTAGCTAGTATACCTTAAATTTAAAATCGAAGTGTAGATAGCTTCTGCCTTTTTTCCCAGTAAACCAGTCTTCCACACCATTGTGCATCAAAATACCTTCCACAAGCATTATTTCTCTATATTTCTCAGAGCCTACTTTAAAATATGTTCTTATATGTACCAGTATATACATCTAGGAAAAGAACTTGATACTACAAAGTATTTAGGAGAACTTGATATCGCAATTTTGTCATAGCCGAATAGAAATAATTCCCTCTTCATCAAAATTGTTGGAGAATATACCCCTCAGTCTTGAGATTTTTTTGGCAAATAAAAAACCATACTCTTCGGGCTCATTTTTTTAATTTCCAAACAAATCTCAAGATTATCGGGGTTAATTCTCAAACAATTCCTCTAACGCGGGAATTATTTCCTAATTAGAGCATAATTGCACAAACTTTCTGCAGTAAAACTTACTTAATAATGAATCTCAATGAATAACTGCCTAGCTTTCTTTAACCAGTATGAAAATAACGGGAAGTAATTCTGAGTGCAGTACTTACGGCATTCATAGAAAATTATGTATCACAAAGAAATATAAACACTGCTGTAACTGTAATGTGATGTAAAGATAAGTAATTGGCACCACTCAAATTTATTGACAATGTGTGGCTCCACCTGGTGACAAAACTGGTTCATTATTGATTTCATCCTGTGCTTGATTGTACATTGTACACACACCAGTAATGAATTGTAGACTTGTTTCTCTTTTCCACCCTGTACGGGGAGTAGCAGTACGTATGATGTGTAATTATCTTTTTATTTCTTACCAATCATTTACAGATAAAGTTCTGTGTATTACTTATAGATTTGTCTGCCTGCAGATGCCTAATGCATGTAATTTATCCAAGTACAAAATCATTGTCTGTCAAAATAGTACCAGTGGTCTATATTTCTTGTGTTTTAATTTGTATTTATAGCTGTTTTAATAATGAGCATTCATTTAGTGATTATTTTTAAAATATAATAAAAAGTTTTGTGCGTACATATGTATATATTTTCTACCAACGATTCTTTTGAAAGGTCTGAAATATAAATTGTATGCTTAGATTTCGAACAAAAAACCCAGCTTATTTTACTCCATCGTCTCAAGCCACAGTTCGCTGTTAGCTCGATCTTTCCAGAATGGGAGAGGGTTGTACATTATGGATGTGGTTTGCGACAATGATTTTACTCTGATCAATTATTCAGTAGCTGCTTATAATGTTGATCAGTTTAATCTGTTCATTATTCATTTAAATTCTGTTGCTTTATTCAATTTTTAATGTAATGAAAATGTTAAAGAACTTTTTAATTGTAAGAGGAAAGCATGCTATTGTGAAATATTACGAAAAGCAGGACTAGTATCTTTCTTCAAGAGGAGCAATTTTACAACTCTCCAAATATTATATTTACATGTACAGCATCAGAATGATGTTCTGATGTTTTAAATGCACTTTCTTGAATTATTAAATTTAAAATAATATATTTCTCATTTAATGATTTGTATAAGACTCAGCAAATAAAAATAAATTCTACAAATAACTTAAACCAAATTAATCTTAAAAATTCTCATGTCACAAATGATATTTTAATGAGCTATTTTCAAAGTAATATGGCTGTATTAATATTGTGATTTTTACTTTGAATTTATAGTGCTAACTTGAATCCTCAAGGAAAAGAAGTGAAATTTCCTGAGAGACGCCAGTACCAGAACAGATCTGCTGATACCAGACGCAGGGGGATGCTAAATACCCCGAGGGCTTCAAATCTATCCTGAAAGAACTTCTTCCTCTTATGGTGCACACAGAGAGAAAGAGTGAAGCTTAAAAACTTATTTCAAAGCTACAAAATACATTTCTGTGATAATCGTCTGGTAGTCAGCATTGCTTATACATGTAAATCATTGTTTTAAAAAAAAAGCTGCATTTTTACCAGTGTTTTTTTTTTTTCAGCTTACATATGAGCATTGATATATATATAACCTGTGTATTGTGTCAATTGATTTGTTCTGTACAGAATCTTTATTATGTTGCCAAAGCCTGGTCACAGATTGTGGAAGTGGTGTATGGTAAAGTGGTGGTGCCATTTGGTGGTGCCTTTAAAGCGGTGCCTGTCTCCACATGAAGCCATTCCATGTACAGGAAGTTTGTAATCAATGTACACCATATGTATTCAGTATTCTAGTATAATATATAGTCATTTTCTAATGGGTGTTCATATTGAAAGCAATGATTTGTAATCAGGTTGCTGTAGCAACCATGTGAGAATTAAATGTGTTCTGCATGAATTGTAAATGTTTGGTTTCACGGGTAACCAATTTTTTTTTTATTTGCCAAGACACTGGTTTTTCCTCTAACTATATGCACAACTTGTGCTTAAAAACAAATTACCATGAAGATATTAAAATGTGAATGTTTGGAAATGTTTACTTGATGTTTTCTGTACCTTGAAAATGTAAATTAGATGTATTATTGTATTTATTCATTATAAAGCCACTTTGGTAAAAGGTTGTAAATTTTAATCTTAATAATCTACTAAATTCCATGGACTATGCAAGAACAACTGACTCTAGGATCAACTTTTGCTGTTTAAGCTAATTTTGCAATTATCTATACATGTACATGTACAAAATATTTTGTTGTAGTAGTACCAATGGAATGGATTTCAGTAATATATTTTAATTTATTTCAAATTGAATTTTATTTATGATATATTTTACTTTGCTTGGATGAAGCATCTTAGTAAGTAATGGTGTACGACTGTGATATTTTTTCTTTTAAAAACATGACAGATTTTTCTAGAACTTTGTATAACTTAATTGGTACCAGCATGTTTGTGGCTTTAAATCTTTGTAAAAAAAAATTGGGCTGACACATATCATCTTGCCATATTTAATTTAGTCTCTATCTTCAGGACTATATAAAAAGGTACATTTAGTGCTGACTACAGAATTATTATATTACAAACAAAGTCCAAGTCATTTTCAAAATACATGTTATTCTTTGAAAGCAAAAAGTAAACTACAGTTGATAGGGTATTTACTTATAAAAAAAAGTTAAAGTAACCATACCCAGACACAGTTCATGCATCATTGTAGTCTTCTAATCAAATTAATTAAAGTAGTTTTAATTCTATAGAAAGTCATTTTAATCATGTATTTAAGATTGTTACAGGCCAGATTATGTGTTTTGTTAAAGATCTGCAATAAAATACCAGTATCAGTATGAAGAGTTGTCAATGCAATACTGACTCAGTTTCTATCTACTTGTATATCAGATAATGTACAAGAGTTCTAATATGGAAGGAGTTTCTGTATGTACCAAGTAGCAGTCAGTCTTGATATGACTGCTATACAGTGTTGGAATGATCTGGATATGACTTTTATACCAACACTAGCTGCATCTATAGATGTAACCCTCTCCATTTTTTTCTGATGTTTTCTTCCCCACTCACTCCTTAAACAAAATTGGAGAATATTACATTATTGCAGCTATGGTTACAGCACTTTCTGAACGATCTGGATATAACTGTTTGAATGATCTCAATATGACTGCTAAATCTGCACTACTGTTTATATATTTGTATTATCTCATATGTGTTACAGCCACAATATTGTTTGAATTATCTCTATAGCAGTATGACTGCTATATCAACACTTCAGTGAAAATGATCTCTAAATGACTGTTATACCTACACTACTGCTTGATTGATCTCTATATGGCTGCTTTACCTACATTACTGTTTGATTGATCTCTATATGGCTGCTATACCTACATTACTGTTTGAATGATCTCTATATGGCTGCTATACCTACACTACTGCTTGATTGATCTCTATATGACTGCTACACCTACATTACTGTTTGAATGATCTCTATATGGCTGCTATACCTACACTACTGCTTGATTGATCTCTATATGACTGCTACACCTACATTACTGTTTGAATGATCTCTATATGGCTGCTATACCTACACTACTGCTTGTTTGATCTCTATATGACTGCTACACCTACATTACTGTTAGAATGATCTCTATATGGCTGCTATACCTACACTACTGCTTGATTGATCTCTATATGACTGCTACACCTACATTACTGTTTGAATGATCTCTATTTGGCTGCTATACCTACACTACTGCTTGATTGATCTCTATATGACTGCTACACCTACATTACTGTTTGAATGATCTCTATATGACTGTTATACCTACACTACTGCTTGATTGATCTCTGTATGGCTGCTACACCTACATTACTGTTTGAATGATCTCCATATGACTGTTATACCTACACTACTGCTTGATTGATCTCTATATGGCTGCTACACCTACATTACTGTTTGAATGATCTCTATATGGCTGCTATACCTACACTACTGCTTGATTGATCTCTATATGACTGCTATACCTACACTACTGTTTGATTGATCTCTATATGGCTGCTACACCTACATTACTGTTTGAATGATCTCTATATGGCTGTTATACCTACACTACTGCTTGATTGATCTCTATATGACTGCTATACCTACACTACTGTTTGAATGATCTCTATATGGCTGCTACACCTACACTACTGCTTGATTGATCTCTATATGACTGCTATACCAACACTACTGCTTGAATGATCTCTATATGACTGCTATACCAACACTACTGCTTGAATGATCTCTATATGACTGCTATACCTACACTACTGTTTGAATGATCTCTGACTGCTATACATACACTACTGTTTGAATGATCTCTATATGACTGCTATGCCAACACTACTGCTTGAATGATCTCTGTATGACTGCTATACCAACACTACTGCTTGAATGATCTCTATATGACTGTTATACCAACACTACGTAAGTGTTTTTTTTATTTCATATGTGATATACCGACACTACATTGTGAGTGATCTCTGTATGAATGCTATACCTACACTGTAGTTTGAATGATCTCAATACGACTGCTATACCTACATGTGTACACAACTGTTTAGAGTGATCTCATTTGACTGCTTGTACACAACTGTTTTGAGTGATCTCATTTATACCTCTATACTAATATTGATTCAATCTAATTCATACAAGGGGTCCAGCCTAAATTCCTTTGCAAAGGCGTATTTTTCTTTGCAACAGAGAAAATGGCGGAGTCGAAGCGGAGACTGGAAAGAAGGCCAGTAAACATCACGAAATTTTTAGTTATTCGCGCATTTAATTCGGTATCAAAATATGTCGTTTCGGTGAAGCATTTATTTGTCTTTTGGAGGGATACTTTTGGATACCCACGACTTACATACCAAAATTCTATTGAAATAAAACGACATGCCTTGCAGACACGGATTGAATACGTGTGTCATCATATGAGGGTAAATACTGTCTTTTACAACAGAGTACATGTTGAATGGAAAATAAGAGAAACTTATCTCATATATTACATCAAGACTCCTTATTCAAACATGACTTTCTGTGACAAAATGACAAAATTTTGTCTAAATTCCAAAATAAAGGTAGTATAGGAAATATTTCATTTGCAAATTGCGGTTCAGGGCTTGTTTTTCCTGTGCAAATCACTTTGCTGTATAAATAATACAGAAATTCACCATCACAACGATTACAAAAACGAAAAATACAATCTGATAAATTTGGATTTAATCAGTACGTAAGTTTCAAGGTATTGCTTCCTTCAAAACTGTTTTCATAACCGGTCAGATTTATCTATTTCAGGAAAGAGCACTGCATCAAATGCAGGAAGATTATTACCAGCAAATATTTTCTTCAACAATACCAATAGACGCAGCAGGACTGTATTCATGTAATCATTATGGGAAGTCTTTCCGAACCAATGAAAAGTGTGATTTGTATTAAAAAAAAAAAATAATTTTTATAATAAAGGTCTTATTAAGTACCGCGAAAACAGAATGTATGCCATAAAACTCTTCCCACCTCCTTCTAAAGTGAAATCTAAATACAACAGCATCGCCAGGAACTTGTAAAAATCCAAAGAATAAAAAAAAAAACTATCGTGAACAGATTGAAATCATCAAGATTGTGTAAGATAATCAAGTACATTAAATCCAAAATGTGAAATATTCTTTAATTAATCGTCATATGAAGGGTTTAATGCAATATATTTCTTGAAATATTTTTTCCAATGATATCATCGCATAGCATTTTTTAATCTCTTATGGAGTTATGCTTTCGGGTCCGTACTGCGTTGGGGGGAGGGGGGGGGGTGTCTAAGGATATTTTTTGATGTAGTTTAACAAGGTAAATTTTCATTTGGAATCCCCCCTTTTTTGAAAACATTGCAATGGGATTGACTTTTGAATATCATTGTTATTTTTTAGAAAACATTGTCTTTATTTACGAAATAAAAATTGGAGAAATTTTAATTTTGTTGTTTTTTACCATGAGCAAATAATATTTGATGCAAAGCCTATCTGTTCGTTGGGGGGGTGGGGGTGGGGGGTTCCAAAAGAATTCTACTAAAAATTTAAAAAAAAAAAAAAAATTAAAAACCATTTCCAGAAAGTTAATACAGAGTGATCTTTTTCTCAGTCACCAAATGTTTAAATTCTGTCTTGATACACGTACATGTTTAAATTTCGCCGAACATATCCTATGCTAAAATACTAAGTTCATTCTAGTTACCTAATATGTATATAAGTATAAATGACGTGTCTAAGACCCATTTTATATTACGAACCTATGACAAATTTCAATGATTTTATTTTTAAAACAAATGTCCATATTCAAATACATGTATGCAAATTGTACAGATTCAACTGTCAAAACTTTTATTCGGGTTCACAGTTTATATCGACAAGAAACATTCAATACATGCAATACTTGTGTACGAATACTTTAAGATGATGAAAGAGAATGACAGTTATAAAATTGTCATCATCTTGAAATGTATATCACTATATGACAATTTTCATCGTAAAAATAAATTATTATTATAAAAATTGAATTTCAGTAATTCATGAGTTACATTGCAAGAAATATATGTGATTTTCTACACCCTATACAGTTCCCTTTCCAATGTCCCCACTTTCAACGATGATAGAATTTTAGATCCGTCGACCATAATCCATCCGATCGCAAACAGTCTAAATACTCTTTGGAACTTGCATATGCCCTTGTCCAGAATTTTTTTCCTTATTTACAACCTCAGGTTTGAGCGTATGAAAGGATCAGTCTCTAGAGAGAGAAAAAAATTTTTAAAAAAAGTGTATCAGAGGTAGGGAGAAACTAACCCTCCCCAATTAGAATCATAGGATTTACTGTGTACACACCACTTATATTATGCTGGGTGACAGGTGATTTTCATCGTGAAAAGTATGTATACAATTTGATTGCAAACACTATATTGCTGCCTGTAATTTTGGCGAAGAGGCCTTTTCAATATAACGACCAATGTTCTGAATCACAGAGTTGCAAAGTAAACATGTCCTAATATCGACTTTGCAAAGTAATTTTAATCTTAAAGTCGTAAATTGTGGATTAAATTTCTAAAACTGGCTTTGTGTGAATGGAAATTGTGTTTTTCTAATATTTGACCGGAAAATTTACAAATATATGTAATTTTTACAGCTTTGAACTGTGCAGTATGTTACAAATAACCGATGATTGGTTATGAATGCGACAAACAATAGAGACATGTCTATGGTTTTTCTTCAATAATTTTTTCATCTTAAAGTAAATCTCTTTAGCTTAGTTTTCCCACTGGAAAGGATGGATAGGCGCACCGAAACGTAACATTCATTTATCAAAATTAATGATTATAGTTCCTAAAATTACACGAAAGTTACTGACCTTGTTTTCTTCTCCGCTTCGTATCCGCCATTTTTTCGGTTGCAAAGAAAAATACGCCTTTGCAAAGGAATTTAGGCTGGACCCCTTGTCATATCTAATAGTATTTTACTGCTAAACCTACACTACTGTTTGAATGATCTCAAAATGACTGCTATAACTACATCATAGTTTGAATAGTTTTGATATTACTGCTATATCTACTTTTTTTTTTATCTCCACATGACTGCTATACCTACACATTTATTTTAATTGAGGGAGAGAATCTAGATGCCAAAAGAAAAAAAAATTGATCATTATCATTTAATTAGGAGTTTGAAAATGTCTATATAGAGCTGTTCTACATCGCTTTTTGTCAATGCTGCGAATTGTACAATTGCGTAAGTTATAAACGTAGCATTCAATGCGAGCATGTTCAATATGAACAAGACATACATCCAATGAGAAATTGATCTGTTAAGAAAACATATATATAGGTTTTTTTCTTGCAACATCCAGTATGTTGCCGAAAGACTTTGTTTATGAAGGACTATTTTTTGGGAATGGACCTATCTGATTCATTGTGCACAAATCGTTTACGTCGTCATGCATGCAGCATCCTTAACAGGATGAACGAAAAATGGGAATTACATAATATCTCCCGGGGGGGGGGGGGGTAGATCATCCGTCAGGGGGAAAAAAGCCTGTTACATAGGTCACTTGCTGCATCGGACATCTATTGCGACTTTGCAACGCATCTTGGTACAACTAGCTCACAACAGATTATCAAAAATGCTGACCACTTATCTAAACTCATTTGTTTAGCAGTGGCTGTCAACTTAGTAGCTTACTTTTGCAGATGGAATTAATTTTAAAACTTTGTGCGTTCTTTTTATTCTGTTACGCATGTTTTGTTCTGGCTGGCAGGAGCACAGATGTGAACGTCTGGATGACACAGGGTTTGTGAGGAATCGCCTTAACTGTGGGCTCTGATGGAAGACTGCGGGGGTGGGGGTGGAGGTGGGGGGCTCAGGGCTACACCATTGCTTGGAAAATATTATTAAATTGTATGCGTAAAAAGTTTTACTTTACCGATATGATTACATAGACAATTCCCACAGATATTTTTTCTATTTAGTCCCATGAACTTATTTTTGAATATGTTGATGGTTTGGAAAAACCACAGTCCTTAAAGATGAGTTACGTTAATCTACTTTAGTGTTAACTCTTTATAATTATCAAGATTAATCTGTGGGCGAAAAGTACGATTGATAATGGCATTTTTACATCTCTTGAAGAACGTGTGCATGCATGGTTGTTACTTTCTATGTCAAAAGTTTTCTTTTAATAAATTTCATGGGTTGAACAAACATTTTGCATATAATCGAACGTTGCATGTAAAGGACAAGATAGGCTAAGACCTCTTTTTTGCCCCTGGTTTGGGGTGTCTTTTAGAATGATACAACAGTTTATCAATAGAAACCTGTTGTCACCCTTGCCACAAAATGAGTATTGGTTCTAAGTTATGGGATACACAGAGGTCACAGGAAGGTCAGAAAATATGTCAATTTCCGAATCTTCTCATTTTTATGCAAATTTTCATCAATTTTACAGCAAATTCTGTTTCAGAAAATATAGAGCACAAGCTTGCCTATCTACCAAAATTATATATTTCATACACTAGTATCAGATGCATCTTATATATAAAAATCTCAGACAGGCAAGCTCCCGAAGTGAAAAGTACCGGTATCTCAAATTTGACGAAATTCCAGCAGAATTGAGGAAATTGAGAAAATGTTCTACTTGTGCACCCCCTTGTGGCCTCCGTGTAAGCTATACGAATCAAAATTAGTGCTGGTTTTAAAAACAAGCATCATAATAAGTTCTTAACTACAAATTGTCACAATTTTAAATGTGTTCTGATTTTTACATCAAATAAGGGGCCAGATTCAGCGGTTACCATACCTTGTCTTTTTTAAAATGGTTTTTAGAATTAAAGGATCCAAAAATGTTCTTTCGAAAAGATTGCGTTAGAATTTACCTTTACAATAAAATAATTGGATTCAGATTAAAAGTGTGCTACAAGGTTTCAAAAAGCTGCAAATGTAGATAAGAATATATTTAATTTATATGCATATTTTATATTCCACCGAGGGGTTGGTCCGGGGGGGGGGGGGGGGCTTCTTATGTTATTGTATATTGTCGGACATCCAGGCTTCCTTAATTTGGTGGCAAAATGGAGGTACATGTAACAAAGTGTCCTAGAATTCATTAATTAATATTAATACATACATGTATCACACCACAGGAAATCATTACATGTAGTTTGAATGAATAAAGACGAATGTTGAAATTGATATGCACTATAAATATTTAGCTATTAAAAATAATTTTCCCTATACAAATGAATCGGAAAAGAAAGATTGATCGTAGATTGGCAGTGGCGAGTTGTGGTTAATATCCCACATTGTCAAAGTTATTTAATTCTGTAACTTCAATGACAAAAATTTATTATATCACGAGAGAGAGAGAGAGAGAGATTGTAAATTCTTAATTCCGGTTTAACTAGTATTGTCTGTTTGGGTTTTGATTTTTACAAATTTTACATTTTAAAGTAGGAATAGGAAGTGCATGTTTTATCAGTTCATATAAAGACCCCCTAATCACACGGTTGCCTGTTTGATCTTCGTACACTGTGGGGATATCAATATTTTCTCTTAAAAGGTATGGTCCTTATTTCGACGATCTTTAATATTAAGTCGTGTCCTCTGCTGTATTTTAATAAATATGCCTCAATGACGGATTAATTATATTAATTTGAATATGTTAAGTGCTGTGACCTTTTCTCAGTTCAACATGCAATTATATATATGCACTTGTTTGTAATTGGAGTTTTGATGTGTGTGTAAGTGTGTGCTTTGATTTACATTGAAACTCAGTATATTGGAATAAACTAAGTCCATGTTTGCTGACTGATATACGGAGAATGTTCACCGAGGCCCGAGGAATACATGCGTAACTAATCCGTTAGCTGACCTGACCTGCAATCATTTTAATTTACGCACAAAAATATTTTTTATGTACCATATAGTATTCTCTCACAGACAAACTGCAGCTGATAAAAACGTCTAAGATTATTATTTTTTGTTTTGAAGAAATGAGATTCAGAGAAAATCAGAAAGGGGATAAAATAATAGAATGCTATTTTTTTTAATTTAAATTTCTCAGGGCTGAAAATAAATTGAACATTTGTTTTTCAAGACTGCTTTAATTTGTTTTAATTTCGACTGTCGAAAAAGGATTTTTGGAATTCCAAAATAAACAGTCCGTAAATTAGATTTATAAATGATCAAGCAAGTCATATAAAAAGAAATCTTTTCAAAAGGCCATCTTTAAAATAATGTTTGCTTGCCCTCTCCCGACTCGGAGTAAAAATAATGGGTCTGTAAATAGGTGGGGAATTTTTCCCCACAGAAAACTTTCCAATATACATGTTTACGGGATGAGAATATTTGAAGGAAAGCAAATTATCGTTTCCTGGAGGTTAAAAAATGTTTTGATCAAGTCGGGCCAGTTTTAGCCAGTCGGTCGGGAGAGGGCAAACAAACAATTTTTTAAAGATGGTCCTATTGTTTCAATAATTTCCATATAAGTGTCATGATTTGCAGTACTTATTCTAATTACAAATACAGTTGAAAATAAATATTAAACATATGATTTTTGTAGAAAATCTATATTTTTTAACGATTTTTCAAATTCTTTTTAGCGCATCGTGTTTCATGCAGTCATGACCTTGACTCAAAGTCATATATCTCAAACATCAAGGTCAATGGGCACTGAGATTGTAAAATGATGTCTGGCTTAGCTGCTAGAAGTTAAACCCTTGGAAGGATGCTTTAGGCTTTTGACAAAAGTGTGTCAGATCTTGACTGAGGTAATAACCTGCAGGTCAAGGACAACTGGCAATTGCATACCGAAATTGTATCTGTCCTTTACTCTTGAGCAATTGACTGGAATAAATTCAAACTTTGAGTACATGGAAAATGTGATGACCTAATGGAGGACATTGACAAGGTCATATCTTTAAAGGTCAAGATTACTGCATAATGATGTAATAATAATAATTCAACTGTTAGTAAAGTCAATAACTTTAAACCATAAATAAACAAAATGTTCCACCCTTGTATCCTTCACTGCATTATAGATGTTTTGTATAACTTTAGAGAATGGTGTATTGGGCATATAAAGTGAGAACCAGGGTTATAAGGAGGTGGGGGGTTAGTTTCTAAAGTTATTTTACACTGCATTTAAAATACAGACAGAAAATCAAACAATAGAAAAATCCATTCGTAATTAAAATATTCTGATATTTATATTCTCATTTCTGAGTAATGGAGAGAGAGAGAGAGCAATTTGAAAATTCCAATCTTAAGCCCCTTTCAGGCCTCGGTCCAATTCATGTATGACTGTGGGCACTATAAGAAAGAATCAAAGGTCATTTAAGATATATCCTTGTGTAATTCAAACTATGTTCTAAATTTCTTTTCTTTCTTAATTTCAGATATGAGTAGTTTTGACTCTAAAGGTCAAGAGGTCATTTCCTGTGACCTTTGTTCTCATCCTACACATCAGCATTTCTGCAATGACTGTCAGACATCTCTATGTACTGACTGTGTCAGTGAACATGTGGACAAACTCAAGTCTCAAACTCATGATATTGTTCCTTTCAAGGACAGAAAACAAGAACTTATATTTACTCCCTGTCCTTTCCACCAAGGTCAAAGGTGTGAAGCCCACTGCAAACAGTGTGATGTCAATGTCTGCATCAAATGCATTCTGGGTAATCATGCATCCCATCCAGTGTTGGAAATGGCTGAGGCCATTAAGAAAAAGAAAGACGAGATTGAACAAGAAACGCATGAGATACAATCAGTCATCATTCCCAAATTTCGAAAAGAGAAGGAAAAAAGTAAAAGCAATATTTTGGAATCAGAAGCAAGATGTGCTGAACTGAGAAAAGAAGTTGAAATTCATAGAAAACTCTGGCACCAAGAAGTGGATGAAGTCTTTGACAAAATGATATCAAAAATCAAATTCATGACAGACAAGCATATAACAGCACTGAAAATTCACCAATCCAAGCTCAGGAGTATGCTTCCAAACATGTTCCAAACCATCGAAAAGAACAGGGAGATACTAAAGAACTACAGTGCTTCTGCTCTAACAGATCACAAATCAAGATTACATGAATTCCAGGATATCCCTTCAGTCATTGATATCACAATTCATGAACTGAATACCATAACAAACAAAGGGACAGAACTCAGTATAGAGTTGGGGGACTTCAGAGCCTCCCTGACCCAGATGACACTCACTGGTCCAACAGATGATGTCTCAACAGGTTCACTGAAAGCATTGTCAGAAAAAGCCACAGTGGTTGCCAATATTCCAACTAAATTGAAGAACTTGAGAAGTTTGGAGTGTGTTGGAGCAGATGAAGCTTGGGTCAGTGGTGAGGATAAAACAGTGAGATGTTTTGACATTCATGGTTCAGAGCGAGATGCCGTAACTACTACCTGTCCCATAGCTCCAAATGATATTGCAGTGAACCAACACGGTGAACTTCTTTACTGTGATGGTCATAATAAAACTGTGAATATAGTCAGAAATTATAAGACAGAGACGCTGTTCACAACACCACAGGGCTGGCATCCTGATGGACTGTGTTGTACAAGGAGTGGGGACATCCTAGTCAGCTTGGGAACTACTGATTTCCAAAGTCGCAAAATTGTCTCCTATGAAGGAACTACACTGAAGCAAGAAATGGATAAAGACGATCATGGAAACCCAATCTTCAAAGGAGGTGAATATGCTCTTTATGTGGCAGAAAACAACAATGGCGACATATGTGCCTCCGATCAAAATGCAGACAGTCTGGTTGTAATGGACAATTCAGGTAAAATTCGATTCCGATATGACGGCACACCAGTCAGAAAGGACAACCACTTCAGTCCAAGACAGATAGCCACTGATTCCTTAAGTCAAATCATTGTGGCAGATGCACGCAACAACAGCCTTCACATCCTTGATCAGAATGCGCAGATGCTGAGATATGTAGAGGACAGTTTATTGGAGAGACCAATAGGACTAAGTGTGGACAGCCAGGGGAGGTTGTGGGTGGGGCTACTGTCTGGAGATATCAAAGTCATTCAGTACATAAAATAAAATATAATGGATGACACTTGTGATCTTCTCATCTGTCTCACTTGACCAAGCAAATTTTCTTATCTGTGTCAAAGCTTTCCAAGTTAGAAAGAAGAGAAAGCATTTGACTGAGGAATAGGTGATTGGACATTATCAGTCATGATATCAAATGGCCAAATATTCTGAAATTTGTTAACTAGTCTATTTTGTTTAATCAGCTTGTGCAATGTTGTTATGTTATTTTATGTCATTAGAAATATTTTAAAATTTGTTGACAATCTTTTATTCAGTTTGTGCATTCCTTTCGTTTCAATGTTGTTGCATTATTGAAAGTCAGAGTAAATAAAAAAAATACAAAACTTAGAATCTCAGTTTATTTAACTTGTGTATCTTGAATCAACAACCCTAAAAGAACAAAGATTCAATTACATACATGTACATGTACA